TGGTGCTCCTGAAAACTAAGCTTGCTTTAACCAGACATTCGAGCAATTCTTGCTTCCCAGGCCTAACTGCGGGTAACCAAACACAAGCCCTGGAAGAGTAAATATCATCCCTCTAGGATTGCAGGGATTCCTTCACGCAGCCTTCTGGGAAATGTAGTCCACCCCACTGTGACATCACCCAAAGACGTCCAGGAAAGCTTTTTCCGGCTTTTGGTCTCCACACGTGCCTCTTCCTCAAAGTTGGGCGAGAGTCCCGCCTACTGCCCATTCCTGTTGCGTCTCTGAAATGGAGGTTGGTCCAGGGTGCAGCGCAGCCTGAGGCACTGTGCGGGGTTTGGCGCCGTCTTGGAGGGAGCGGACCTGGGCTGGGTGGAAGGGCGGGAGAAGCTGCCTTGGAGGTGCTGCGCTCAACTGGCTGGGACGCCTGAGGTTGCAGGTCAGGGCTGGGGAGAGGGCGACAGGAACTCTGTCCTGAGTGATGGTTTCCTTAGGACGTCGCGTGCAGCCCCAGTGCTCCTTGGATTTCTGGGACAGGAGAGCAGCCTGGGAGCTCACTGAGCAGCTTTGGTGGGGAAGCCCCTGCTTCACTTCTTACCCATTGTCACATAGATGTTGTGAGATTTCTCAGTTTCTATAGAGCAAATGGTTTCTGACTCCTCTTGTACTCTGTAGCCGATCTGCTGTAACAGTCTTGAGGTCTTCATTGTGTCCATTTTTTTCTGCCAGTAAAGAATTAAGAGAGGAAAAACCCGTGGCTCCAGAAATCACGGGTAGGAAATTCCGAAACACGGACAGATCTTCCAGAATCAGCTGTTATAGAAAACCTTTGACTAGGGTGAGAGGACACACATTCTGCAGACGTGTGGAGTGAAGGACCCCGCGCAAAGCAGAATGGGGACTAGGAAAACTTTTGTGTCAGGTCAGCAGGTGAGGAGAACTCCCAGACCTGTGTGTATTCCTGGGATTTTAGTAACCAGACCAGTGATAGAAAAGAAACGTCAGTCTCCTCTGAGGCACATCCCTGTCATCTCTGCGTTTGTGAGGGGGAGGCAGGGCCCTCTAGTCCTCCCCTGCTTCATAGCAAATTCAAGGCCACCCTAGGCTACCTAGTCTGTGACAGAAAACATTTAAACATACTTCATGTATGGGATAAATAGTTTCTATCGTTCATTTCCTGTTTATTACAGTGACACATCCGTGCAATCAGCGCTTTGCTGACTTAAGAACTATTTCTGCTTAACTTCTGCTGACCTAGTCCAGGTGTAATTTCAAGTTTTGTCACTAACATGTTTTTGTTAAAAACATTAAGTTTTGGTGAGTAGACAGTTGTTTGCATTTACTCTGTAAAGAAGAATTCTTTGCCTTGCTTGAATATTCCTATATGCAATGAATGTTCATTCTTTTTGCATATTAATCTGTGTTAGCTGCTCTCATGACCTGATGCAGCTTTCTTTCGGTTTTCTCTGGTTTCTTCCAGTTTGTTCCTTTCATATCTAATCTGAGACTCCATTATTTCTTCATTTCTATTCTGTATTTCTTGACTTATGCGGCTGCTGTGATTTCATTCCTGGGTCTTTGTCTGCAGCTGCAGCTGGGATGTCTTCCCCTGTCCTTACAGCAGAGGTTCCTCTGTGAGTAGAGGCTTCTTACAGTGAGCCAGAACAAAACCACTTCCTGCACTGTCCTTCACATGGGGCACTGCATAGCCAACCAGTAAAGCAAACTGCTAATGGTGGGTCCTGCTCTTCCACAGGTCCAGTCCAGTTCCGTTGCTGACAGTCCTGTGTCTTTCCTCCCAGGCTTCTTTCACTGTGCTCTACGTCAGTGTGAGGGAAGGAGTTACTTGTGTTTACAGCTCATGTGTGACCCGTGCTGTTAGACATGTCATCTCTGGAAAACCCTGGAGCGGAGGTGCTGGGTGATGACATTCAGTTTCTGCCGATCGATCTAAATGATTATGTCAGAGGCCATGGAGAGACCTTGCAAAATATTTGAGCAGGGGTCAAACACATGCAAGGAATAAACCTGAGCAGCACATGTTTTCATTACGTTGTCAGTTCGGGTTAGAAGTGTCTGCCATGGTGTCCTCTATAGTTGTCTTACATGTAGTAACATATCAGTTACATATGTTGAGTTCAAAGTTGTGCCTGTTTGTCCTGCCTATTCTCTTAAAAACTGCACCCCATTGTTTTCTTCTTTGCAGAATCTATTTTAAACACGAGTCAGACCTGTTACTATATGTGAGACACTCCTTTCGCTGTTGCTTTCTGAAGACTCAGAAACAATATGCAGGCTGTTAAAATTCACAACGACATTTGAACAGTGAATGTACAGAACATGTGACATCTATTTTTAAACTAAATTCTCATTCTATCATCCATGTTTTTTATAAAGGACATTGCATTTAGTCTCCCGTGCTTTTTTCATGGTTCCAATTCCATTCTTTGAGCCATAGTATTGCAAAAAAATGGTAGCTTAAAGCGAAAAATTGATGATGTTGCATTCCACGTTTGTTGGATAAAGAACTGGGACAGAGATCTAGGAGCTGCTACTGGATGACGTGTGCGCTGCATTTTAGCCCTAGGTGCTTTAATCGGTCCACAGGCTGCTGCGAATGGAGGGTCACTGTTGTTAAGAACCTGACCAGGTAGCCGGTCCTCTCTTTGCATCTGACTTGGACTTCCCACCAATGCCCTGCAGATGTTTGGTTTTGTCTGGCTCTCTGAAAAGACATCTCTCAGGGACAACGAGAGGAGATACCAGAGTTCTCAGAACATCGACTCTGTCCATTCTGTTGTTCTAGGGACAGCCTCTATTCAAGTGGAGGGCAGATTTAGACCTCCCAACGGTAGTAAGAATGTGTAGCGGTTTTTAATGAATGACAGATTGTTCATCTCCGACCAGACATCATTTGCATTTCTTCTCCAAAAAAAAATGAATTTTGCCAGTTTCATAGTCCTCTGAAATGTTTGCTATTAACAGCATTGGGAGCAAACCCTCCTGCTTACAGTGTCTCACGGGAGGCTAGTCCCAGGACAGCAGACACTTCCCCGTGTGGAACGGTGTCCCCTTCTGCTGGGCTCTATCAGGGAGTGGTCTTCCCTCTGTCCCGATGTTTGCCGTTTTCCTCATGACCCAGTTGCCCTGCTGTAGGCGATATCATTGTTTAAAAAAAAAAAAGGAGTAGAAACTCTGGTTTTTGTTTTCTCCCTTGTAGAGTTAGGAACGTGCTCCATGAGGTACAAAGATACTTGCACCACGTGTCAGCTGCTTTTCCCTGAGAAATAAGTGTTCTACTCCCCAAATGGCTCCAGTCTGCTTTGATTTGAAGATGTACTGGCAACGTTCTCCTTGTTGCCTAACCCTGCCCTTTGTTAACAGATATTTTCAGTGTAATCATTCCTTACAGAGTAGACCTTTCCCTGCACCAAAAATCTTGAGCATGGCTCCTCCCTCCTAGTGCTGAAAACACCATGCACTTTAGACACAATCCTCAGTCTGACCAGAGGAGAGAACCTCCGGCCTACGGACGAGTGTTCATAGTACTAGAAGGTGCTTTGCTAGCCTCCAAGGGAGAGACGTGATACCCCAACAGTAGGAGTGCCTGAACACTGACAACATTAATATCCGTGATATCCTGTAGATGCGGTACTACCCCTAAAGATGTATATAAAACCACCCAGCAGTGATGGCTTATGCCATCCCAGCACTCGAGTCCCAGCACTCGAGAGGCAGAGGTAGGCAGATTTCTGAGTTCAAGGCCAGCCTAGTCTGCAGAGTGAATTCTAGGACAGCCAGGGCTACACAGAAAAACCCTGTTTGGAAAAACAAAGCAAAACAAAACAAAACAAACAAACAAAAAAAAAAAAACAAAAAAAACCAACCAACCTAACAAAGTGTATGTATCCTGGGTTTCCATTGCTGTGACAAAACATCATGACCAGAAAGCAAGTTGTGTGTGTCGGGGGGGGGGGGGGGGGGGGGGGGGGGGGGGGGGGGGGGGGGGGGGGGGGGGGGGGGGGGGGGGGGGGGGAGCAGGGAGTATTAGCTTAAACTTCAGTATTACTGTTTATCCCTGAAGGAAGTCAGGACAGGGTCCTGGGGGGCAGGAGATGATGCAGAGGCCATGGAGGGGAACTACTTACTGGCTTGTTCTCCCTGGCTTGCTCTGCCTCTTTCTTACAGAACCCAGGACCAGAAGCCCAGAGATGGCAGCACCAACCGAGGGCTGGGCCCTCCCCCAATTGACCTCTAATTGAGAAATGCCTTACAGCTGGATCTCATGGAGGACTGTCCTCAGCTGAGGCGCCTTCCTTTGATGGCTCTGGCTTGTGTCAAGTTGACACATAAAACCGACCAATACAATATGTGCCAAAAAATTGCTGAGAGAGGGGGAACTGGTCTTCCCCAAGGATGGACCCACTCTCTATTCATTCAGTGTGTAGAATACAAGCATGTCACACTATTCCACATTATTCTGCCTTCTTATAGCATATAGGGTCACCTGCCCATGGCGGGCATCACCCATGATGGGCCGTGCTGTCTAATGTCAATCACTAATTAAGACAATGCCATAGGCTTCCCCACAGGGCGGTCTTAGGGGGCCTCCTCTCAGTTATGCCTCTCTCTTCTCAAATGACCCTAGCTAGTGTCAGGTTGACAGGAAAACTATTCAGCCCAATGCAGCTTGGTATTTATATTACTATTTGTGGTTTTAATTAATTATCATTCATTGGTTTTTGTTGCAGGAAATGCTGTCCTTCTCTGATGTGGCCATCGAGTTCTCTCCGGAAGAGAGGGAATGTCTGGAGCCTGCTCAGTGGAATCTGTACAGGGATGTGATGCTGGAGAATTACAGCCACCTGGATTTCCTGGGTGAGCATCTCACCTATAGTGACTTCTTATTTCACCATCAACTTGTAACTTCCTCACTTTGTGTGGTTTCTCATGGGAGCATTTCAACAGTCAGTTTCATATCCTTCGTTTTCAGAAAGATTAGAGTGGTTGGTCCATAGCTCCAAGCTTTCCAGTGTTTCTCTCTGTGTGTTTGAACGGTCAGTGTTAAACGTGTATTCCACTCAATAGTATGTCTACTGGGACTGCTCGAAATTCAATGCCGTGAGGCACGGAGCGTACTTGTTGATTAAAATATTTCACAACCCAGTTTCAGTTGGGGTGTTCTGTGCTGCATGGGTCGGTTAAAATAAGAGGTCACGCCAAGATGAAAGCTTAAGGCCTGTCTGGCCGCAGGAAGGTCCCGCCTGTGATGAACTGAATGCTGAACAGCCGGCATACAAAGGCATATTTGCTTATTCTTACACAGTGTTGTGTTTTGGCTGAAGTACTTCCTCACACCAAGGTTCCTAACCTAATGTATTTGTCTCTCTAAAGGAAAGCATCAAATGCCCTATGTCTTTAGTCCGTTACGCTACATCATTTGTACTATGGACTAATCTAAGAGCCTCAGGTGTGCCAGAGGCATCACGTGACCACAGTCCTGCGAAGGCTGCAGTGTCCCTTCAGGAAACAAGTGTACAAATCACAGAAACAATTGCTGTATTCCACAAAGATCCCTTACTGTTCTCCGCATTGATTCTCCATGATCAAAGTACGTCTAGAAAGCAAATATTCTAAAGTTTACCCTACGTGCAGTGAAAAGAATTCATCCTAATGTCTACCCCAGATACAGTGACTCTGCAAAATTCCTACAAATTTTAATCTTTTCCCCTTTCAATGAGACTCAGAATCTGGACATTGTACATTCCTTCGTGTGCTGTAGTGGTCCTGGGAGGAAACATGTATGGAACTGATTGTCTGTAGTCATTTATTTCATATCTCTTTCCTTATAGAATGTACTGGAAGGGCCATGTCAGTTTCCAGTACAAGGACACTCCAACAATCTTGTTCCCTTTTCTACAAACAGGTCTTGTCCTCTCTAAGCCACACCTGGTGACATTTCTGGAGCAAACACAAGGACCTGGGGATGGGAAGATACAAGCAACAGCCACCGTGCACCCAGGTGTGTAGGAATGAGGGGTTCAGGGGGCTAAAAAGCAGGTTTTTCCATGTGCTTTGAAAGAAGGTGTTGTTGTGGAGATAATCTCTCCGTCATGTCTTTGTTATCAAAGGAAGATGTCTCAGACATTCATGGTTGTTTAGTTCTCCTAAGCTTTGTAATTCCCCCATCGTGGGCTGTGTATGTTTTTCTGCAAATCTCCAAGGTTTTTTATTTTTAAATCTACATTGTAATGAAGACTCAGGGCAATGCTGTTCTATGCAGAAGACTCATGTATTTGCTGGGCTTGCGAGCAGACTCATGCCAGAAAGATGTCTACACCAAAGTGAGCATGATTGGGTTTTTAAAGTCAAACCCACAATTCCATCACACAGAGGCGGGCAGTGACAGAGGCTGAACAGTATCAGTTCTGTTGATTAGAACACTTCGGGGGTGCGGAGCCATTGGATAAAACTCAGGCAAGCAGGAGTCAATTTGGACAGTCGGTTCCCTGCTTAACTTTGACAACATGTACAGAGGACTGTATAATTGAAGGCTGTGTGAATTTTTCTCTCCCTCTATATGTACATGTAATACCTGTACATGAATTACATTTGTACCGACCATGACTATAAACACAATTTTGGGAAGACTAAGTATATTTAATCTCTCAGTAGGTGGCTCAATAACTCTTAGTTCTCAATTGTCTTCGTTCTCTCATCATACTGTAAATGAGCGACTCTTATCAGATTAGGACATGCTAAATGGAAATAACTTATCTCTGTTAAAAATTTCAGCCCTAGAATTTCCAGTTGCTGAACTGAAGCTGTCTTATGTTGAAATAAACTTAAAATATAAATACAGTCCGTGGAGGCTCTGGGACCTTCACTCTCCCCAGTCGCTGCATAAAAGCTAAATCAGTGCCCCTGACCTACGTTCAGTAGCTTGATAAATCAGAAAGAATATAGTTAGAGGAGACGAGGAAGCCTGGCCTTTTGAAGGGAAACCTGTAAGAATAAAAAGATGGACAATGAGTTGTTCTTGTTGTGACTCAGTTGATTGCTTTTAGACAGAGTGTCTCTTTTATCCTTTTTAATAACGAGCCGCCCACTGGTTGTTTCTACTCTACACTTCTTTCTCCCGTAGCCTCCCTCGGAAGAAGTTCACCTCTTGGCTGTTCTTTTCCCAAGCTCATGCTGTCTTTTCCCGACGGTCCTGCTGGTCTCCTTCGGCCTGTCATGGAGTCAGGGAGCCAGCCTGGCCAAGAATAAGGGCATTGGGGAAAAAATTGAAGAGAAATGTGCTTGGGTTTGAAGTGGTTGGGGAGTATCTTTTTACCAGAGCCAGCTTTTCAGTGAGCTAAAACAGTATTTAACAATTTATAAAACTATTATCTGTATTTAAATGGCATTTGTTTCTCAATAAGACTGAACATAGTAATTTAGATATCCATAACTGTACTGTGTGTCTCTAGATGTAAGCAGACAACATGAATAGTTTTATATGTGTTTTGCCTTTTATAAAGATTTCAGTATTTAGGATAATATACTCATTCTCGTTAGATAGGGATGTGCTGACTCTAATCATTAAATACATAAGTACCTGCAGCCTAGAGACATTTAAACAGAAAACCATAAACTAGACATTGAAGCAACTCAGAAAGTTCTGGAAGCAAAAGTAAGAGTATCTAGGCTTGGTGGAGCTGAGACAAAGGCTGAGCTCAGCCACAGGGCTAAGGAGTCCCAAGAGCAGACAGAATGTGTATCTTGGAGGAAGCAGGCTTGCAGACTCAGTAGAAAGGAACCAACTCGGATTGTATCTCCTGTTTCCTGCACAAGCAGAATGGGACTCCAATACATAGAAAGCCTGGCTGCACCATCTTTTCCACACACCGAGCTAGAGTCCAAGACCTACGTGTGCTTTCTAGGCTCCTTGGATGTGTGGTGGCTCCACTCCTGTCTACCCTGCAGGCTCTGGTCTGGTGCCTACCACAGTGACCTGTGTTCCACAATAGAGGACACACTGCCCCTATGTGGACCGTATCACACATCACTATATCAGAGAGATCCTATAGCTCGGTCCTCACCAGGCAGAGTACTCCTTTAAAGGAATGTGACTGGGAGTTGACGAGGCTTGGGTTCTTGACAAGATCTTAATGTTTTGTGCTGTGAAACAGTGGATCTTCCACAGCTGCTGGGGAGGCTGCCTGAGAACATTTTCTCAGCAGGATTGTTTAGTTGGTGGAGCATTTGGGTAACGTTCAGGAAAAATTGAGTCCCTTTGGGAATTTCAGTAACAGACTCTGTACTACTTTCTAAACATCAGAAAAAATGCACACCTTTCTAAATGTCTAGGTGTGAAACCATTGTAAAAAACTACGTTCACATATTTCTTTCAAGTCACTTACACTCATGTTGAGAAAAGTGATTCCCATCAGAGTTCTTAGTCTTTGATGAAGATATTTTCTAAATTGTTCTTTATCATACATTCAGTAATAAGGATTTAGAATGTATGCCCTTTGTAGAAATATATTTGAAGATTAAAACTGTTTGTAGCCAGGAGGATCTAAGCTTTCAAACTTTTGTGGGTTCAAAATTTTTCTTTACTTTGCAGTTTGATTTTTTTGTATTATTTTGGAGGTGTGTATAGCCTAATATCATTTGTTATACATTCCCTATATATTTTGGTGGATGGATAAAACACATTGATAAAGCACAGGGTGAAGGACAGTGTAGGATTATAAAGTATCCATGATCTCTGCTTTGTGAATTTCTACTTCATGGGTAAACACAAGTCTCCTGTTTTCATACATTGTTCATTGTCTCTCTCACTTAGGGCCTAATATCTGTTCATTCTTGTAAATGAATAAACCTTACATATACATAAATTTATTGCTTGGGCATGGTGGTCTACTCCACTGGTCCCAGAACTTGCAGCCAGAGGAAGGTGGATCTCTGAGTTTGAGCCAGCCTGGTTTAGAAAATCAGTTCCAGGATAGCAAGATCTACACAGAGAAAACCTTATGTTGAAAAAGCAAATTTAAACAAAAGAGGAAATAACTCATTTTTTCATCTATTAGTTGACAAATATATTGTCTCAGCAAAACTACTCTAATTCACAGGTGAGCCTGAAGCCTTTTTTTCTTTTTATCATGACTTGATATGTTTCAGATATATATTTTCCTGTCCTCCAAATAAAACATAAAATCTTGTCCTGAATTTTTGAGCTATATTATTTAATCTTGCTGTGGACTGTGGTGCCTGTACCACCTGGAACCAGAGTTGGCAAGGGCCTGGGGATTAAAGAACACCAGCAACATGGGTCACTCTTGAAGCAAGAATGCCAATTTTATTATGTTCCAAGGCAGCTTAAATAGTGCTCTCCTTGACTAGTAGCCACACCCTAGCCCACCGGAAACCACGTCCTTGTTATCAGAAACTCACAAGGGTTCTGTACTCAGAACAGCTATAAGCATAAAAAAACAAGATGTTTACCTCCAGCAGGCAAAAAGGTCATAGAAAGTTCAGGGTCTGTGGGTCTGCAGCTCCCAGCAGTGGACTTTTTGTACAGCATATCCTTTATGCCTTTCAAAATAAAACTCTATGTGGATGATAAAAATTTTGTATTTTGATGATGACTCAGAATCACACAATCACAATTAACTTTGTTTAAGGCTTGACTACTTTATAATTTCATAAACAGATAATATCTCTATTGTTTAATAGGCTTATTTCTGCTAGTAAAATGCTCTTACAACTTAGTTAGCTATTATGCCTGCTTTATTTTGTTGTGCCTATTATTCTACTATGAGTATAAATTATTTCTAGCTACAATATTTTATCCTTCATCCTCACTGCCTATTGGTTTGAAATATACTGTAGTTTGTCACTGATGTTTCAATATCTATGAATAAATCTCTCCATATAAAAGTACTGTAAGTATGATGAATATTTTCTAGCTTTTCATCATATCTCAACTTTGCTTAACAGGAACAACATCCAATGTTGATTATAACTCACTACATAGTCAATGCCAGAGACTTCATACAAGGGAGAAACCCTACAAGTGTGAAGAATGTGGTAAGGCCCTTGGTTCTTATAAAACACTTTCAATACATCAGAGACTTCATACTGGAGGAAAACCCTACACGTGTAAAGAATGTCACAAGGCCTTCAATACTCACTCATCACTTTTTATACACCAGAAAGATCATACTGATGAAAAAACCTACAAGTGTGGAGACTGTGGCAGATCATTCTACTATCTTTCAATGCTGAAACAACATCAAAGGATTCATTCTGGGGAGAAACCCTACAAGTGTGAAGAATGTGGCAAATCCTTTTGCTATCCCTCATTCCTTAAGCAACATCAAAGAACTCATTGTGGAGAAAATCCCTACAAATGTGAAGATTGTGGAAGAAGTTTTTCTTGTTCTCTACGACTTCAGGTGCATCAAATAATTCATTCTGGAGAAAAAACATACAAGTGTGAAGAATGTCAAAAAGCCTTTCGTTATCACTCATCCTATTGGAGACACATGAAAGTTCATATTACAGAGAAGTCATACCAGTGTGAACTGAATGGAAAAGGATTTACTAAGCCTGCCTTTCTCTTTGGGAACAAGGCAGCTCATACTGCAAAGAAAGCCTACAAGTGTGAAGAGTGTGGCAAGTATTTTTGTTCATCTTCATCCCTTAGACGACATCAAACAATCCATTCTGAAGACAATCCCTACAAGTGTGCAGAGTGTGGCAAAAGGTTTTCCTACTTTGCACACCTTCAAGAACATCAGACAGTTCATACTGGAGAGAAACCATACAAGTGTGAGGAGTGTGGCAAATGTTTTTCCTCATCTTCATCCCTTAGACGACATCAAACAATCCATTCTGAAGACAGTCCCTATAAGTGTGTAGAATGTGGCAAATGGTTTTCCTGTTCCAGGAGTCTTCGGGAACATCATGCAATTCATACTGGAGAGAAACCATACAAGTGTGAAGAATGTCACAAAACCTTTCGTAAATACTCAACCTTTTGGAAACACAAGAGAGTTCATACTGCAGAGAAATCCTACGAGTGTAAAAAGTGTGGGAGCTGTTTTTTCTCATCTTCAACCCTCAGACGGCATCAGGCAGTTCACTCGGAAGACTATCCCTACAAGTGTGAAGAGTGTGGCAGCTGTTTTTACTCATCCTTGTTCTTCAGACGCCATCAAATAATCCATTCCGAAGACAGTCCTTATAAATGCGGAGAATGTGGAAAACGCTTTTCCTGTTCCAGGAGTCTTCGGGGACATCAAGCAATTCACACTGGAGAGAAACCTTACAAGTGTGAACAGTGTCATGAAGCCTTCCGTAATAGCTCATCCCTTTGGAGACACAAGAAGGTTCATACTGCAGAGAAATCATAGCATTGTGAAGAGTGTGGCAAATGTTTTTCTTCCTTTTCATGCCTTAGATGACATCAAACACTCCATTCTGAAGATAACCCCTCCAAGTGCGCTGAGAGTGGAAATGCTTTTCTCCTTTGCACACCTTCAAGAACCTCAGACAGCACACTGGAGAGAAGCCATCGAGGGTGAAGAGCTGGTAAATGATTTTACTCATCTTCATCCCTTATGCAAGAGAGAGAGAGAGAAACACACACACACACACACACACACAGAGAGAGAGAGAGAGAGAGAGAGAGAGAGAGAGAGAGAGAGAGAGAGAGAGAGAATTCATTCTGAGCACAGTCTCTAAAAGTATGGGGAATGTGGCAAAGACTGTTAATCTTTATAAGCTTATTGGACACATGATAGTTCATACTGGAGAGAAATCCTACAAATGTCTTAAAAGTTTACCCTTCTTCAGCCCATAAAACCCATAAAATGAATCATTCTGACTAGAAATTCTGTGAGTGCCGGGAGAAACAAGGGTGGAAAGAGGAGTCATGAGGAGAGGCCAGCCAGCCAGCAAGGAAGCAGGATGTGTAGAAAATGAGATAATAAGCCATGAGCCACATGACAAAGCATAGATAAGGAATATGGGTTGATTTAAAAGTAAGAGTTCTGGGAGACTATCTCCTAATTCCCAGCGGGTCTGATGACCTGGAACGGGTGTGTGAAGTCAGCTCAGTGACAAAACTCTGACCTTCTGTTTCAAACAATTGGCCCAGATAGTCTGAGCCATTTTTATTTTTACAGTTTCAATAGTTTGCCTAAACATTTTTCAATCTTATTTATTCTCTTAGGTTTCTAATAATAATTACAATACCTGCCAACTTTTTCCCTCACCTCATTCCCTTTCTGGCCCCAACCTTCCTACTGCTAATCATTACCTATTTGATTCATAGCTTTAATATCAGAAGCACAAGCGATCTAGCAAACAACAGAGGAAGTTTCCTAACTAGGCACACCTAATGGTAGAACAGTGTGTTTAGCTGGCTGCATTTGTGGTTACAAAAAGAGAATTTTGCCCCTAGCGGTTATGTTTCGCTCTGGTCAAATCTATACTCATCATAATCAACTCATCAGCCGAGGCTGGACCAATTCGTTCTTCATTCTGTACTCTAATATCTCCTGTAGGGAATATACCAGGAGTTTTCCTATCATCTTGTAAGCTACATAACTAAAAAGCTTACTCTTTATAGCCGGCACCGCTCATCTCTTATTCTTATGTGTTTCTCCTCCCAACTTTCTACAGTATTGGCACAGCTATCAAAGATGAGGGCATTGTGGGTTTCTGTGATTCTGCCTCATTCCCGTTCCTAGACTGTTCCGTTAACCCTTGATATCATCTATTTATTAACATTTCTCTAAGATTCTTGTGGTTAAAATCATTCTATCTACAACAGTTTTGCAAATTTGTAATATTGTCCTGAACTCCTGTGATGCTTTCAGGATAGTCACAAGGTGCATTTAACATCCTGTTCTTAAGAAGCCTGAATTCATGTTCACACCTGAAACATCAAAGATGTTAGGGGCTAACTCAAATATGCACTCTATTTTTAACAACATCCCTTCTGGTTCACCAGGAGGAGAGTCTTCAGGGGGAAGGTTTTCCTTTTGTAAATAGCTGTTTCATCCATAGCTCTAAGAAAGTGAAGTTCAAATTAACCAGCAATAATTTGTATGAGGGAAGCAAAGAAGAGTGCTCCTGGGGTCATGCCCAGAATTATGCAGCACACTAGCCATGGGCCTTGCCAAAAATGGGTCATATTCTCGAGTGCCTTGCAACAAGGAGAGTTTGTTCAGGCTGTTCTCAGGAACCACCAAGAAATCCACATGGCTCCCAGCATCTTTTTTGTTTTTAAATTGAAGTTCATGAACATCACGAAGGACTATGAGACCGGCAAGTCTTAATTTATGTAGAGGACTGGAAAGAGAATGATTAAAATAAAAAATAAACCAAGAGCAACAACCAAATTAATGATAAATGTCCAAAAATGTTTTATAGTTAAAAAGAGGTAATTGAATTTAAAAAAAAATTATTTCCCAAATCAAAAATTACTTGAAAACAGGAGAGAAAATCTCTAGCCTATTGTGCCTATTTTAATGTTTCCTTGAATCCCATATCAACAGAAGATAGGGAAGATTTATACATTACTTGAGAAAATACTTCCTTAGTCCTCAAGGGAGCTGAAGGTGCTGGGGCAGTTCTAAAAATATTAGCAGTAGTTGGACTCACCAAGATAAGATACATAATGGAGTATTTTCTCTGAATTTGTCAAATGCTAATGGATTCACATTGTTAATGTGATTACTGCCTATATATATTTTTTGTGTATAGTTATTGTACTTATTGTATATAGTTTTTCTATGCTAAATAAAACCTTTGCTTTTTGTTTAGACAAAAATGGAAAAATGTTCTATATATTGTTTTTGTCCTGACAAGTAAAGCTCACCTTGAGATCAGAGGGTTGAGCTAGCCACTATTTAACTACAGAGGCCAGGCAGTGGTACTTACACCTTTGATCCCATCACTTAGGATCTTATGTCTTTGATCCTAGCACATGGGAGATTCATGCCTTTGATCTCAGCACTTGAGAGGCACATGCCTTTAATCCCAACACTAGGGAGGTGGTGACAGGAATATAAGGCCTGTGGTGGTGTGGGAAGTCTTTCTATATATGTGTTGCTTTTTTAGGTAATGAATAAAGAAGGTGCTTTGGCCCATGATAGGGCAGAATAGAGCTAGGTGGGAAAACTAAACAGAATGCTGGGAGAAAGTTGGATGAGTCATTGAGATGCTGTTTAGCCACCAAAGGAGAAAGACATGAGCCGGCAGCCAGAATCTTGCTGGTAGGCCACAAGCCTCATAGTAAAATAGAAAATAATAGAAATGGGTTAATTTAAAATATAAGAGCTTGCTAGGAATACTCTAGAGTCATTGGCCAAGCAGTGTTGTAATTAATAGGGTTTGTGTTTGAATATTTCAGGTCAGGGTGGCTGGGAATGAATGAGCAACCTCTGACTACACAGTGGAGACGGGATCTTAGGCCCATTCATTGTGAGGTTTCACAGAGACAGGACCATCCCCCCCTATTTTCAGTCTTAGGGTTTGGTGAGACAGGATTCCCCCATTCAGTGCGAGGATTCGTAGAGACAGGATCACCCCGTTTCGGTCTGGGGATTCAGAGAGGTAAGAAGTGTGGCCGCTCTTTTGCCTCTCTGATCTTTCAGCTTTTGCCCTGATATCTGACTCCAGGTTTTTCTTGATAGGATCACGTTTCACACTATGACAAGTTTGGGGAGAAAAGGCTTTAATTGGCAGAGGTTCCCACAACGCTTTTCATCATCAAAGGGAGTCAGGACAGGAGTCCAAGCTGGGTAGGAACTTGTAGGCCAGAACTGCTGCGGGGGGGGGGGGGGGGGGGGGGGGGGGGGGGGGGGGGGGGGGGGGGGGGGGGGGGGGGGGGGGGGGGGGGGGGGGGTGCTGACTGGTTTGTTCTCTGGAAGTGCTCGGGCGGCTTTCTTACGGCATGCCAAATGGACTGGGCCATCCCACATCAGTCATTAAGAAGTTGCCCCGTAGTCTTGTCTACAGCCAGATCTTACGGAAACATTCTCCCAGTTGAGGTTCCCATCTCTTAAATGACTGTAGCCTGCTTCAGGTTGACATAAAACTAGCCATCATGGCTTTTAACAAGACTGGCTATGACAGCTCGCTGGACCGACCTCTGAATGAAAAGTTTACTAGCTCTGGCCTAATGGTCAGGTCCTGTATAATTAAATGGTTGTTAAATTTTGACAATTGAAAGATAGCCTGAGTAGAAATGGTTTCAAGGGCAAGAAACTACACCTTCATTGAAATCGAAGATTTTAAAGTAAATAAAACAAATAGGGAATGAAATGGCTTAGGAGAGGCTAGGTTAGTCTGATGCTGCACCTCCTCTACTCTGGAAACTCTTCATTCAAGCTGTTCATAAAAAGGATTCTTCAGCACTGGAAGAGGACCTCAATCAGCGATTCTCAGCCTGTGGGTTGGGACCCCTTTGGCTAACCTCTATCTCCAAAAAATATTTACATTACAATTTATAACAGTAGCAAAGTTACAATTATGAAGCAGCACCTCTCCACACCCCCCTGGAAATACTGTGTGGTAGGTAGAGAATAACTCACAGACTCACAGTTGGTCAGAGTGCAGAGAATAATAGCCTGTGGAGGGCCCTAATCCAAAGGTGACGCCTACATCGCACATTGTAAGGGAGTCCCTTACACACTTCTAACTCCAAAAGTCAAGGATGCATGAGGGAAAAAGAAGTGGAAAGAATGTCCGAGTCAGATATAGTGAGTATCTGCTAGAAACGTCAGTACCAGCTCATGCATGCTGTGGCTAATACTACCTGGACAACCCTTACACAAGCTAAACCCAGCTTTGCAGCAAGCATGGCTGCATAAGGGTCTCGTTATGTCTCACCCTGAGTGGAGAAGCAATGGCTCCTGAGGGAAACAGTCAATCTGAGAGTCTTCCAGGGTCCAGTTGGCTGTCCCACACCCCCACACATGGAGAGGGCACTAAGTGGAACGAAGAAACTAAGAGAGAAGCTCACAAAGTTGGGAGAGTCACGAAGTTTTTTGTTTTTATTTTGATTTTTGGTTTTTTCGAGACAGGGTTTCTCTGTAGCCTTGGAGCTTGTCCTGGAACTAGCTCTTGTAGACCAGGCTGGCCTCGAACTCAAAGATCCGCTTGCCTCTGCCTCCTGAGTGCTGGGATTAAGAACGTGCGCCGTTTTAAGGGTAAGAAGTAATAGGTTAAGGGATGTGGAGATTTGAGTAAAACATGTAATATACACCGCAGACTGAGAGACCAGCTCCCAGATTTGCTCGAGGGTAGTAAATATTCCTCAGAGTAGCGAGGGCTTAGGAAAACTTTCTTGTGTCTCTAAAAATGTCTTTAGGAAGAAATCCAGTCTCATATGCTCTGAAGGTAATTTTCTTTATTACTGCAACCTGAAAAATACTCACACAGGATGAAAAAACTCTAGCTTATATAAGAGCTGCATATATTTCTTAAACAGCAGAGGAAGTGCCATTCTATAAACACATAAGAAATCACAATTTTTTTTTCTTTCAGGCTTGAAAAAGTCACACTGATCATAGCCAGGGCAATGTTTGGGTGTGAGCCAGATACCCTGAGTTTAGTATGTAAAGCAGGCAGGAAAGCACAAGGCTTCCTCATCAGAGGGGCTCCCTGGAAGCCATACACTGAGCTGAAGGCATTCAACTTTCCCGAGTTCTTACCCAGAGTCCACTCAGATGTTCGGTACTGCTGATGTTTCTCCTTTGAATCGTGTGTGCTCCTATTCTAACCCCTCATCCACACTTCTGCCTGCCATCTCAGCAGTAAACCCACTGACTCATGAAGACAGGGATGTTAGTGGAATCTTGGCTGTCTCTGTTAGATGCCAGCATCATTCTAAACCACACTGACTTTAACGTAATAGACAATGTAAAATCTCCAGGAGCTGTATGAGAGATTAACTCGAATATTGGGAATCCTGGCACTTTGTACGGAGCCTACACTAATTTGCTCTGAGCCAAGAGCACATCCATGGACGGCTCTGTCTTGCGGAAGTGGAATTTCATTTGAAAGGCGGAGGCCCATTGTAGCGGCTTGGTGCTCGGAACTATACTTCTAGGAAAGTGTCTCCATGCTCAGCCCCCAAAAGAAGGAAAACGTGCTGTGGGGCTGGACACTGTCCCAAGATGGAAGTGGAACATGGCAGCACTGCCCACCTCGTCCTAGAGTTTTAGACACTCAGGTCGGATGTGCAGGTCAACGGCCAAGAGAACCGCTCCACCATGTCAGTGCTCAGATGTTCGGTGTCCCTCCTAACAGTCCCTGTGGGGTCACACTTCATGGAACACGCCGGTGACAGCTAAGTGGAATTGGAACTGAAGCATGTACCCATGGCAGAAACATAGAAAATTCTAGACTGGGGCTTGTCTGTGTTTCAGTTCCAAGTGATCTGGGACCAGGGTCCCTTCCCTTGGAAGGTGAGCACGAGCTCCTAGCACACGGGACAGTGAATATTGATCTGACTTTGTGAACAACCGTGGAGACCGTGGGAAAATTCTAGTAGCGCTCTCACAAAAACGAAATTGCTTACACAGATTATTAGTTGAAATTTTCAAGGGACAGAAGGACAGGCGGCAAATTCCTGGGATGGATTATGAGAGATCTTTGCAAGTAATTGTCAGAGAGTCAGACGTTTAACTTTGTTCAGTGGTTATACCGGCTGTCTCCCTCACCAGTCCTCTACACTAGAGAGAGAGCAATGTTCACACAACACTGTTTTACAACTGTGGAGGCAGATCCACGTGAGGCTCACACAGAGTGTCAGTACAGAGGAATGAGGGTTACTTATTTGTTTATTTGTGGGGCTGCATATTAAGTCAAAGTCTACATTATACTCAACTGCTTCAACCCGTGTTTGTTTCGTTTTGTTTTGCGTTGCCATCTCCTTTTTACTTAGATACAAGGTCTCTTTGAATTTTTCAGTCCAGCCTTCTTCCCAGGTCCATTTGTCCTGTAACCGCTGGGCAGCTAGGAGCACGGTCAGACATACCACGGCTGGCTTCAGAATCATCTTTAAAAGATACTTTCTCAGTCTCACAATAGTGTATTGCTTCGTTATTTTAAAGTAAAACTGAGTCAACGTGATATTTAAACGCTCTAGTAAGATTAAAATCACAATATATGGACCAGAAAACTCACAAGGCGAATATTTCTGTCCAAAGACTCGACTCACATTCACAATCTCGTGTTGAGGATCTGGAGATGAACACAGCGTCACTGCACATAGCGGTCCTGCTCTCTGTGCTTCTTCCTCCCACTCTCTGCTGCAGGCAGCCAGACACACGTCCAAGACCATAGAACTCTCCCAGCCTGGGTTCCGGGGATTCTTTCGCACAGACTTCTGGGAAATGTAGTTTGCAGCGCTGTAACAACACTGGGAGCAGTCCAGGAAACCCCTTTCCGGCTTTTGGTCTCTTACAAGTGCGTCTTCCCCAAAGTTGGGCGACAGTCCGGTCCTATTGTGGTTTCCAGGTGCGTCTCTGTCATGAAGGTTGGTCCAGGGTGCAGCGCTGCCTTAGGCACACTGCGGAGTGTGGGTCCGTCTTGGAGGGAGCTGACCTGGGCTGGGTGAGAGGGCGGGAGAAGCTGCCTTGGAGGTGCTGCGCTCAACTGGCTGGGTCACATGAGATTGCAGGTCAGGGCTGGGGTGAGGGCGATAGGGACTGTTCCCTGAGCGCCGCGTGCAGCCCCAGTCCTCCTTGGGCTTCTGGGACAGGAGAGCTGCGCGGAGTAGGTGATAGTGCTGGGTCCAGGATCAAGCTAAGGATGGTCAGCTGACTGCCTGCTCCTGAGGGGGAGCTGGGAGCTCACTTCACTGAGCAGCTTTGGTGGGGAAGCCTGCTTCACTTCTGACCCATTCCAAGGGGGATGCTGTCAGATTTCTCAGTATCTGCAGAGCAAACGGATTTCTGGTCCTTCCTGCCCTCTTTAACTGGCCTAGGGTACTGGTCTTGAGGCCTTGATTGTGTTCTTTTTGTCTGCCAGTTAAAGAATTAAAAGAGGAAAAATCTGAGGCAAAACAAAAGTCTCAGTTGGGAAATTTGGAACACAGCAGACACATCTGCCAGGACCAGCTGCTATAGAAAGCTGTGACTAGGGTGGAGAGAACATACATACAGTCCGCACACAGAGGACCCTCTGCAGGAAGAAAGAACTGCAGAAGCTGACTCCAGGTCTCACCTTGAGGTCTGGGTTCCCTTAAAGCCTTGAAAGGTCCTCCATCCCTAATGGATGGAGGGTGGACTAACTGTAAAAACGACAGGATGTCTGCTTGGCCCACAATGGTTGTGTCAGCACGTCTTGATGTGGCCTTGAGCTTGTTGAGCTGGTCCAGAAGCAGGGTCCCTAGGAACAGGTGAAAAGCCCTTAAGTAGGCATGGGCTGTCAATCCCGGATTGCTAGGTGGGCACTGCCCGTAGGTCCACTCATATGCAGGCAGCTGATGATCATTGCGTGATCAGGCCCCAGCCAATATTAGGAGCTGATTATCAGGTGTGGCTCCATGCTGCTCGCTACAGACATGTCATCTCTGGAAAACCCTGGAGCGGAGGTGCTGGGTGATGACATTCAGTTCTTGCCGATTGATCTGAATGATTATGTCTGAGGCCATGGAGAGACCTTGCAAAAGATCTGAACAGGCATCAAACACATGCAAGGAAGAAACCTGATCAGCACAGATTTTCATCACGTTGTCAACTCTGGGTATAGGAGAGTCTGCCATGGTGTCCTCCATAGTCGTTATCCAATGCAGCGACATATTTTGAGTTGAAAGGTGCATGTGGTTGCATGGCCACCTCCTTCAATATCTGCATTCTGTTGTTCTCTCCATTCTGCTGTCTCTATATGAAATTAAGTCAGGTCTATGAGAGTGCATGGCCCAAATCTGTATTGGATGTACTCCACACAGTGTTGCTTTAAGAAGACCCAGAAACAATGTATGAACTATTAAAATCCACAAATATGTCTAGACATCTAATGTAAAATGCAAAGTGATAGTCTTTTGAAATTAAAATGATAATTATTGCAATTAGTGTTTCCAAAGCAGATACTACATTTGGCCTCCCATATTTTTTCATGGTTTATTCCACTTTCTGGGTCATGAAATTGCAAGATGTGGGGGCTTAAAGCAAAAGTGAATGGCTCTTTCATTCCTCGCTTACGGCATAGAACTGAGACAAAGGCCCAGGTGCTGCTCCTTCATGATGGATGTAGTGTGTATTTCAAGCCGTGTGGCATGTAATCAGTAGTTAGGTTGTTTTGATTGGCGGTTCACTACTGTTAGGATCCTGACCAGGAATCCAGTCTTGTCTGTGCATCTGGCTTTGACTTCCCACCACTCTGCTAGTCTTCAGTCTTGTCTGACTCTCTGAAAAGATATCTCTGAGGGACACCGACAAGAGATGAAAGAGTTCTTATTATTTCTACCCTGTCCATTCTGTTGTTCTAGGCTAGCATCTAAGAGGAGCCTCCACTCATGTGGAGTATATCAACCTCCCAATAATAGTGCGAATATGTAGCAATGTTAATGAATGACAGTTTGCCCAACGCAGGTGAGACATTTGCATTTCTTCCCTATAGAAAGTTCATTTTGACCAGGCTGAAATTCCCTTGAAACGGTTGCCATTAATTGTGCTGGCTAAGATTCTTCTTAAATGCTATCATGTTTCCAGACACACTGCCCTTCACCTGCAGCATCTCATAGATTGGCTTCACGACAGCCGATAAGCCTCTCAGGTGGAATAGGGGGAGCCAGGCCTGGGTGACTTAGGGAGTGGTCCTTGCAGTTAGTTCTCCCTTGAGGACCTGCTTTATTTCTCTCACAGAAACATGCTTGCATCTGCACTCTGCTCTGGGCTCTTTCCACTCCCCGTGGCGATCCCTTGCTCTTGGTTATCATACAGTTAGAAAGGGTGGCATCCGTGATTTCCTCCCCTGGTAGGAATGTGTCACAAGACACCGAGGATTGGAGCTGGGCCTGACCCCAAGGTCTCCTGCGTAAGGGTGAGCTTTAGTCCTGCTTAGCTGTTAAGCCCGTGAACCACCCCCATGAGCAGTATGACCTTAAATCCCTAACGGTGCCCCAGTGTCTCCCACATCTCAGCATTAGCAGCAGTTGTCTCTGATGACTTCTTAGTTCTTAAGTTACAGAGGAGAGCATACTGGAGCCACTAAAGCATCACAGTTGCTAACTGCATTCCAGATGCCTTTCCCTAGACCTACACCGAAGTGTAGCTGTCATTGCCTGTTAAAGACACTGCTCAGTGCAGCACAGAGAGCATTATGGAAAACTAAAACATTCAAATCCAGAGAACTATTGTCTTGTGATGCCCTGACCCAGTAGATACACCACACCACAGTTCCTGTGTAGAAGGCTCAGGGAATATCTCTGGAGAAGGGTCATATTGATTATGAGAGTCAGGAGCTCTGGAACTCTGTTGTGAGGTTGTGCCTTCCAGAAAGGGAAGGGAAGCTGCACCCATGACACCTCAACAATATGATTGCTTGAACAAGCCCTGAACAGTGGCATTGGCTCTCAATCCTATGCAGGGCACAATCTGCTGGCTAACAAAGAAGTATAGGCACATAAGAATCACTAAGAGAGGAGAATTAGTCTCCCACAGCGATGAGCCCACTCTCTATTCATCCAGTAACAAGTGATCTGTTCTCAAAACATGCGCACAGGCAACACTGAACAGAATTGGCCATTCATATTGATATAGCTATGTGCATGCGTGTGTATGTATGTGTGTGTGTTTGTGTGTGTGTGTATGCGCGTGCGCTCTGTGTAACAATAATAATTAGAGAAGAATACTTCGTATATTCAAGATGGACTGTTGGGGGACATGAGAGAAGTTGCAGTGAGGAGGCAGAAGGGAAAATGGTGCACTTATATAGTTTAATTCAATAATTTTCAGGGAAAATAAAGTCTTGTCAACTGTGACAATGTTGGTGACACTAGAAATTATTTTCAGGCAGACAAGCCCAAATAATATATGATCTCATCGGTATATTAACTATAAAAAAAACTGTATCTCACAGAAGTTGGAGACTGATTAGTTGTTCATCAATAAACCAAGGCTTGGGGACTTTCTAAGAAAGTGGGTGCTGTGGAACAGTGAGATAGCAGAAGCCCCAGGTACTGTTGCCCTGACTACGGGTGTGTGTGAGCGTTATGTAGTGCACTTTTCAGGAGTGTTGAAGATTGCGTTTGAGGAGGTGACCATACCGTAACTGAGAAAAACAATCCAAATCCTACCTATGAATTTACTAAACAATAACACATCGATGCACATATTGCTGATAATTTTAGTGCATCAGTAAAAAGGTAAAATAAAGGATGACTATTTTTATAGGTCATTCTGGGACTTTACTCAATAAGATATTAACAACATAAATTCTTAATTTAGAAAATTTGAAATGTGAAAATAGCATCAGTTGTTCAGTTGTTGTATTTCTCAGCTATGCACACTGATGCTCAGGTGTCATATGTGCAAAAACTTGCTTTATGAATACCACAAACCCCCTTCATCTGTACCTGTCAGAGAAAAGGTAGAAAGGGAAAACGATGAGAAGATCCAGTGGCGTGTATTCTATTTTAAATTCTCAGTTGTTGGTCCTTCTCTTGCAGTTTAGAAAACAAAGTTCAACTTAGATGGTATTTAGTCCGGGAGGTCTTTCTTATTATTCTACCTTTTGCCTGCTCCTTCTCATGTCCCATGTCCCTGTCATCTGCATCATTACTGAACTCTGTAGAAATCCTGAGCCCACAGCACAGCCAGAGCTGCTGCAGCAGACTCTGTATTTTCATTCCACGTCACTGTCATGATTGTGCGCATGAGCTGTTGAGAAATCCCTTCTCCCTCACCGTGACTTCCTCCTGTGAGGAATACATATGTGTGTGGTGTGTGTAACAGCACATGGCATTACATGCATGTGCTGTGGGTGCATTCATTTTATATTTCATCTGTCTTAAATCATCATGTCCAACTGAGCTTATACGATCTTTTTCCTTGTCTTTCCTTTTGATGGTTAGTGTGAGATCATGTGACCACTTTAGACATGTCTGAGGAATATTACTACCTATGTAAAAGACATTTCTAGCTCCCTTTCATCCTGGGACAAATCTGCAGACACGTGATAGGGTTTCTGTTGTTGTCATAAAGACCATGATGAAAGACATCTTGGATAAGAAAGGGTCTTGCTGTGGGATAATACTTTTGTACACTGTAAAGATTTGTCACTTGAATTGGTATAATAAAGTATTGAATGGCTAGTAGTCAGGAGGAAAGTATAGGCAGGATGACCAAAATAAGGAGGATGGGAAGGAGAAGGGCGGAGGCTGAGGAGCCGCCAGTGACGCAGAGGGAGCAGGAGATGGATGTGTCATGCTGCTAAAGGTACCGCCATGTGGCAAAAGGTAAATATGGAATATGGGTTAAATTAAAATGTGAGCGCTAGTTAGTAATAAGCCTGAGCTGTCGACTGATCACTTATAATTCATATTCAGCCTCTGAGTTGGTTCTGTAGACTGGGCGGTTGGGACAGGAAATGCCCATTTACAAGGTTTATTTTAGACTCCAACTTCAGGTCAGAGTCCATCTCTGAGGACAGTCAAGGCAGGAACCTGAGGCAAGTACTGGAGCAGAGGCCACAGAAGAACACTGCTTACTGACTTGCCATGCCTGCTCCCCTGTACCATAAAGGACTGCCTGCTCAGGGTGGGCAGCACCCATAGTGGGCTGTGCTGTCTCATCAATCACTAGTTAAGAAAATGCCCCCGAAACTTGACTACAGGACAGTCTTAAGGAGGCATTTTCTCTATTGTTTCTCTCTTCTCAAATGGCCCATGTCAAGTTGACAAGAGAAGTATCCATCCCAATGACTCTTGATATTTATATTATAATTAATGATTTTAATTAATTTAAAGTGTGATATCATTTATTTGTCTGTATTTCAGGAAATGCTGTCTTTCTGGGATGTGGCCATTGATTTCTCTCCAGAAGAGTGGGAATGCCTGCAGCCTCCTCAGTGGAATCTGTACAGGGATGTGATGTTGGAGAATTACAGCCACCTTGAATTCCTGGGTGAGGATCTCATCTATAGTGACTTTTTATTTCACCTCAATGTGTAACTTATTCACTTTGTATGGTATCTCATGGGAGCATTTCAACAGTGATTTTCACATCCTTCGATTTCAGAAAAATTACGAGGTTGCTCCATAGCTAAAAGCATTTTACTGTAGAGGCATTTCATTTGTATTTTAATAAATAAAACTTGCCTGAAGACTAGAAAAGCAAAGCAGCCAGCCACTGGCTCTTACCTTGATGTCAGTCTGAAAATGGTGATCCTGCCTCCAGGAAACCTCAGAATGAGACCAAGAGCTGTCTCTCTGTTTTATAATGCTCTCTCGTTCTGGGATTAAGGGCATGCACCACTACTTCCTGGTTTCTATGACAATCTAGTGTGGCTACTGGGATTAACGGTGTGTGTCATTGCTGCCTCGTCTATAAGGCTGGCCAGTGTGGCTGTCTTACTTTTCTGATCTTCAGCAAGCTTTATTTATTAAAATAAAAATGAAATGCCACTGCATTCCACTATTTGAACTGTTAGCATTGAATGTGTATTTCATCCAGCAGTCACTCTGGTGGGACTGTTAGAAATTCAGTGGTGTGAAGCATGGAACACACTTCTTAATGAAAGTTGTTTCACAACTCAGATTTAATGGTTTTCTCTTACAATGAGACTCAGAATCTGGACATTGTACATTCCTTCATGTGCTGTAGTGGTCCTGGGAGGAAACATGTAAGGAGCTGACAGTCTGCGGTAATTTCTTTCATCATCTCTTTTCTTATAAACAGTGTACTGGAAGGGCCATGTCAGTTCCCAGTAGAAGAACACTTAATCTTGTCCCCTTTTCATGCACACAGGTCTTGCCGGTTCTAAGCCATTCCTGGTGACATTTCTGGAGCAAAGACAAGGGCCTTGGGATGTAAAGATACAAGCAGCAGCCCCCATACATTCAGGTGGGTAGGGAAGAGGGGGTCAGGGGCAGCATTGAGGTCTAAATATTTCAACAAAAAGGCAGGCTTTCTCATGTGCATTGAAACCTATGTTGTTGTGGAGATAATTCTTTTGGTCTCACCTTGATTTTGTTGTCAAAGGACATCTCTCAGACGTTTATGAGGTTTTAAGCTTTGTATCTCCCCAGTGGTGAGCTATGTATTTCCAGAGACTTTCATAGTTTTTTGTTTCTGTTGGTGTTGGGTCTACACTGTAACGTTAAAAATGCCTGAACGCCTGTACACTGTTCTATAGTCTGAGGTGTGGAGGAGCCGTTGTAATCCAGTAGGTTCACACAGAAGTTTCTTTTGGATCACTTACACCCATTTTAATGAGTGGTATCTCTTCAGAATTCTTTGTGAGTGATGAGAGTTTTCTAAAGTTTTTCCTGTTACATCATCAACAGTAAGGATTTAAAATGCATGCCATGTGGATATATATTCAAAGAATAAAACTGTCTGCAACTAGAAGAATGGGTTTAGTAGCTCATCAATAAGCTTTCAGAATTTTGTGGGTTTGCAGTTTTGGTTTTTTTTTTTTACTTTAATCTGCTACGCTGTTTTGTTACTTAGAAGTGTGCGTTGCGTCTAATTATTTGTTTTCTGTACCCTATGGATTTTGGTAGGAGGATGAAGCACATTGATCAAACACATCAGGACAGTGTAAGATAAAAATATCTAGTGCTCTGGTTGTGAACTTTCTTTTCCCAGGGAAGCAAGGATTTCCCTTTTTATGCCTTGTTCATTGTCTCTCTCCACTCAGTGCTATGTGGTTATTTAGTCTTATAAATGGATGGATCTTAAAAAGAGGTAATTTTGTTACCAGACCTGGTGTCCCTCTCCATTAATCCCAGCACGTGGGAGGCAGAGCCAGGTGGATCTCTGAGTTCAAGGCTAGCCTCATCTACATAACAATTTCCATGATAGCCAGGGTTACACAGAGAAAAGCCAAAGAAACAAAGAAATAGGTAATTTTATTACCTGTTCATTGACAAAATCCTCAACAAATTTCTGTTCTTCACCAGTGAACCTGAAGTTTTCTGTTGATATCTTTCAGGTGTTTATTTTCTAGACGTCAATAATAAAACATAAAATATTGTCATAAATCTTTAGGCTATATTATTTAATCTTGTTGTGGACAGCCTACAAGTATGCAATATATCTTTTGTATCTTCCAAAATAACACTCTATACTTACAATAAAAAACAATTATATGTTTTGATGTTGATCCAGTCTCACACAATCACAGTTAGCTTTTTCTTTTCCAGGCCTGGCTACCTTATAATTTCATGGATGTTTAGGCATTTAACATCTATATTGTTTAATGGGCTTATTTCTGTTAGTAAAATACCCTTACAACGTATGTAGCTATTTAACTTTGAATAATATGGCATATGTCTATGCCCTGTTTGCTTGTTCTCTTACTTCAGTAGTATAGACTGTTCCACCTACTCTGTTTTGTGAATTATGCTCAGTGTTGGTAAGTGTTAAAATACACTATAGTTTCTCGTTGATGCTTCAATATGTAAATGTAGATATCTCTAATTTAAATATAAGTCATTTAAATATGAAGAATATTTCCTAGCTTTTGTTCAAATCTCAACTTTTGCTCAACAGGAACAATACCCAATGATTGTAACAATTACAGCAAGGCCATTGATTGTAAATCACTCCTTATTCAGCGCCAGAGAATTCATACAGGGGAGAAACCCTACAAATGTGAAGAATGTGGTAAGGCCCTTAGTTCTCATAAAACCCTTTCCATGCACCAGAGACTTCACACTGGAGAAAAACCCTACACGTGTAAAGAATGTCACAAGGCCTTCAATACTCGCTCATCACTTTTTATACACCAGAAAAATCATACTGATGAAAAAACCTACAAGTGTGGAGACTGTGGCAAATCCTTTTACTATCCTTCAATGCTGAAACAGCATCAGAGAATTCATTCTGGAGAGAAACCCTACAAGTGTGATGAATGTGGCAAATGCTTTTGCTATCCCTCATTCCTTAAGCAACATCAAAGAACTCATTGTGGAGAAAATCCCTACAAGAATGAAGAATGTAGCAAAAGATTTTCCAGTTCTGCACGCTTTCGGGAATATCAAACAATTCACACTGCAGAGGAACCCTACAAGTGTGAAGAATGTCACAAAGTCTTTCGTTACCACTCTGCTCTTAGGATACATAAGACAGTTCACACTGGAGAGAAACCCTACAAGTGTAAAGAGTGTGGCAAAGGTTTTTCCTCACCTTCATGCCTTAGACGACATCAAACAATTCACTCTGAAGACAATCCCTACAAGTGTGAAGTGTGTGGCAGATGTTTTTGCTCATCTTCTTCCCTTAGACGACATCAAACATTCCATTCTGAAGATAATCCCTATAAGTGTGTAGAGTGTGGCAAAAGGTTTTCCTGTTCTGCAAGCCTTCAGGAACATCAAACAATTCACACTGGAGAGAAACCCTACCAGTGTGAAGAATGTCACAAAGCCTTTCGTTATCACTCAGCTCTTAGGAGACACAAGAGAGTTCATACTAGAGAGAAATCCTACCGGTGTGAAGAGTGTGGCAAATGTTTCTCCTCATCTTCATGCCTTGGACGACATCAAGCAATTCACACTGCAGACAACCCCTACAAGTGTGTGCAGTGTGGCAAGGCCTTTGTTAATCTTTATAGCCTTACTCGACACATGATAGTTCATACGGGAGAGAAATCCTACAAATGTCTTAAAAAATTTACTTCTTCAGACCTTAAGACACATCAAGTGACTTATTCTGAATAAAACTCTGTGAGTGCATGGGGTGTGATAACATCTTTGCTAATCATTCAGATCTTATCCAACTCTAACGAATCCATAGTGGAGAATATTAGGTTAATCATTTTGAATATCGACATGAGCATCTAATTTCCAGGAGCACAAATGTTAAGCATGTCATCAGACGACAGTACAGACTTCCCTTTGCTGTCATCTCCATACCAGCTTGTTCAAGCAGTGTGTTTGAAACTTGCCTTGATGAGTTTCTTTCTCTGTATCTATAAATGTTCCATGAAACTGTTACCATGTCATAACTTTGTCTGTCAGGTGCCCTAAATCTGAGATCTGGGCCGTGGCAGAGTTACTGGTATGTTTCCCGGGGAGGTGGGGGGTCACACAAGCTCCTGTAATAACGTCTCCCCGGGGTGTGTAAGAATCTCCATAGACTCATATTTCTCACTAAGTTGGAGTCTGGTGAGATGGTCTACATTGGTGCCGATCTGGGCTGAATGGGCATTTCCGTTTGTCTTCCCAGGAAATGCTAACAGAACACATTATCAATCATATTTGATTCTAGGATAAAGAATTCCTTATTTTCTTTAAGTTCCTAACACCATTTCTCATGACTCCAACTGTCATGTCATAGAAACCTTGTCCCATATTGAAATAAGGACCCGAGTCAATTGCACTCACTCAGCAGAAAGGATGCGTTTGGTTACTGGCTATGGGATCATCAAGTATGAGACATTGTAGGTGCAGATCTTACTTTGCTGTTGATACAGACCCGAAAAGTCATCTCAGTCTTGAGTTTACTAAGTTACTGTAAACTGTTAAGGGCAATTAAAACCTTGAAGATAATAGGAACTCACCTTCTGAATGAATAGATGTCTGTAATGTGCCCAGAATTGTGTTTCTAGTCATGCTAAGTCCAGATGAAATTTATTTACAGATAAGAGATTGGAAGAAGAGGCTAATTTATGTCTCTCATTCTATAGCCTTCTGCTTATGCTACTGTATATTCCAAAGCATGTACCTCGAAACAAGTTTAAACATAGTTTGTTTAATATGACATACAATTAAAAACCAAGTATAATTATACTTTAAGAACTCCTGGTGTGGGGAATAGAATCTTAGTGCCAGAGGCACTCCTTTTACAATACTCTTAGATGGCAGCGCCCCAGGCTCGAGCAGCACCATCCCCTTGTATAGGCCACAGGCCCTACCTGAGCAATTTACATGTTCACCCCGTGACATCACAAGAATGTAAGACTGTCTGCTGCTTCTGTCTCTCCTGCTATGTCTGCTTGAGTAACCAGGCCCTGCAGGGTGTTAAGCTTGGTCAAACGATGGGCTGCCTCAAGATAAATAATTCTACGGGTCCAGTATCTGCCCTTCATAAAAGTCAAAGAGTTGAAAGGCACTAAAAGACGTGGTTCATGAAGGAACTTAGGCCTTGTCGGGCCATCCTGGCTATACTGCGTCTGTTCTGGAGCCTCTACAGGGAAATCCATTTGTGATGTTGCCCACACACAGAAGACAATTGTTTTCTATAGTGTGAAGGCAGAAACATAAGCAAGAGTAGTTGTCAGGCTCGTTGGGGCAGAAAGCCCAGCAGATCACAGTCATAGGGCAAAGGAATCTCAAGGGCAGAGGGAATATCCTCCCACAGTTAGAGGAAGACGACTTGGGGACCTACTAGAAAGAGCTGACACTGGGGACCAGTGTGGCTTCTCTAACTGGAGAGCCACACCACTAAGGAGCCCTCCAGCATAGCAAAAGGGGTCCCACACCCCACAGCCACTGTGAGTTGGGCCTGGCATCCCTGGCTGCTCAGTCTAATGGATGACTGAGGTTTCAGAAGGATAACCAGAGACTTTAAGAGGTTCAGCAAAGCCTTGTGACCTCATGCCTAGAAGTATCTGGGATAACTGAGTGCATACTGGCATCAGTTAGAGTCGAAGGGACATAGAGAACGGATTTCTTTTCCTAGGAAGAGATGAACGTGGAACTCTCCGAAGCTGCCAGAGGAGAAGTTATTGTGTATAGAAAGGTATTTGGTTGGCAAATTTCAATAAGATTATTTGATACTTCTAATATCTTTGTATTTTATAAATCATTTCTGTGTCCTGATTTTGAGAAGCTGAGGTAAATTCGAGGCAGATGCCCTGACTTTCAAAATTCTCTCACGTGAGAATTTCAGTATTAGAGAAGGAACGGAAAGTGAACATACAACAGACCAAACCTGCAGACGGAATTCCAACAGTGGATGACGGGTGAGCTGTCATTACACACACCAGTTTGAGCCAGGAGCTGTGTCCCTCCGGTTGGGATGGGAGCAGGGGCGGCAAGCATGAGCTCACAGCAGCGTATATGTACCTGAGTTTGTGAAAAAACCAGGTGGATACTGGTAAGATCCTGGTAGGGCTCATACTAAAGCTGAATTTCTTATATATGTTAACATCTGAGTTTTACTAAGGGCTTAAGGGTGGGTGGGAACTCCTGCGATGGCCAACGGGAGTTCTTTGTCAATAAACGTTATGGAGTTACGTTTAACTTTCTTCGGGGCTTTATATGCTCTCTGTGCCCCTGACCATATACTTCAGTATTTGGGTTCCAAAGTTCTCACAAAAACTATTTTTTAAGCTGCAGAGTCTGTTCCATGTATGACCCACACAGAGATTCAATTCAGAGGAACCGGGATTATTTTTTTTTTCTAGTACTGGGTATTAAAACAAAGTCTGCATTACAGTCGAGTGCATTAACGTTGGCTCACTACTGAAGTAAAGAAAACAGCAGGTGCCAGGTACAAATTCAAGAAGAATGGAGGCGGGGGTGGAGGTGGGGGGAACTCGGGGATCACATACTACATACTAGGCTTTCGAGAAGATGCTTGCACAGAATTTTGGGATATGTAGTCTGTGTGCTTGTGACATCACAAGAAGCTGTCCAGGAAATTCCAAATTGAGCTTTCGTTTTGCTACGGGTGCGTTTTGCGCAAAGATGGGTGAGAGTCCCCCTGCTGTGCATTCCAGTTGCATCTCTGACACGGAGGGTGTCCTGACCCTACTGGGATCTTATTGCGCGTGAATGTGCCAGTGAGATTATATGGCTTGAACCCAGCAACAAAAGGAGCCATTCGGGGGCTATAGGACTAGGTTTGGGGTCTTGAAAAGGCCACCAGGAGTGACCTCACTGCAGGGGATGAGCAGAGTGAAGAGGATGAGACATGGAGTTCCTAAGAACCACTTGTACAACCTCAAAAAGGTTGGTGCTGCTTATGGAGCAGGAGAGAGGAACCCTGCTGCTTCTAGCCGTGTGGAATCCATGGTGAGCTCAGAGATGGCCCTGATTTCTGTTCCACTATGAGGGTCGGGGAAAGGGACAAAAAGCAAGGCACAGAACAATAGAGACGACAGCGTAGATAGAGTGGATTATAAGTCGCTTGTTCAGCTTCCACAGAAATAACACAAGACAAGGATTTAGCAGAAAATTTTTATCCATTACTTCCCCTGTCAGTCTTGACTCTTAAAAGAAGTTTCATGGGAGAAGTGTCTATCAGGATTCACCCCCATTACCAGGAACTAGAACAGACACTGAGATAAACAGAAGATAAGGACTTCACCAAATGATTAAAGAAAACTCACTCTACATTGACTTCTCTCAACAAACTATGAGCTTGTCTCTTGATGAATTAAATAAAAAAAAATTTAGGATGTAAAGTTTTATAAGCATATATAGGTTTAATTAAATGATTTTGGGGGGCTTAAAAATAAGGTTTGGATATATGAAACAATAAAACATGTTCCAGATTTCCTTCCCACTATGATATTGTTATATTAAGATGTCAAAACCTCAAAGTTTAACATTATTAAATTCTAAATAAACTAATACAACAATGATGCTTGCTACTCAGCCATGACTCGGGATTCTGGATTTCCTTTGGTCATTTCTTAAATATAAACTGAAATGCTTCTAATTTTAATGGAGACCTTCTTGACTTACCAATCTTCTAAACAAATAAAAAATAAATATTACTGCTTTTAACCAAAATTATTTTAGGCTTCCAAATTTCTATTATGATTCAAAAATGAATGTCCTTCACTCTTCTACAACATGGATTCCAATACAGATTACAAATAATAACAATACTGACATATTTGACATTCTAAATAATTAATAGAATCTCCTCTTTGTATTTTTTAATGCCCAACAAGGCAAATTTTTCTTTACTTCTTCAACCATTCCTTCTAAAGTATCTAATCTCAGTCAGCCATTAAAATATTGATAATATAATGGTAAACTATAGATTGAGAAAATTGCATATGTGTTATTTCCAATGACTGACTTACAAAATATTGGCATAGGGTGGGCTATTTAACACTTTCTGTAGGAGAATTTTTTTTATTGATATCTCTTAGCAAGCTGAGAATTATTATAAGTAGGCACCATGAAGGCAATTTTTTTGTTCTTTTCTTGTAAAGGTGTAATGAAAAGCAATCTTTTAAATCAATAACTATAAGAGGCCATCCTTTAGGCAATAGAAAAGGCAAAGGAATGCCAGACCTTATTAATAGCTTTTAGATCCTCCATTTTCTAGATTTCTTTTTAATAATAAACTCAGGAGAATTCCAAAAACTGATTGATTCTTCAATATGCATCAAGCTGCTCCTGTGCAGAGAAAGTCTGCAGTTTCTCTGTTTTTAAAGGCCATTGCTTAACCCATACAGGTTTATTCATTTTAAAGGTAGGGTTGTTGATTCCTTTGAAAGATCAACAGCTGTTGTGCCCTGTTCTTGTACAACCTGAGTGGTTGTTGTTTCTTCTTTATAATACCTCCTAATATTTTTTTCCAGAAACATATGTTAGCTGATATTTTATTTCTGAAATTGGAGGAATGTTAATCTGAGTATTCTGGATTTGCTGTAACAAATCATGTCCCCATAAATTCATTGCTATGTTAGCCACATATGGCTTTAATTTTCCTCTCTGTCATTCTGGCCATAAGCATCCAACCCGTCTCATGATCTGTATAGGCCCATATTTTTACATGGTATGGCGACCAAAATCTCAGGCCACAGTTTGCACCTGCTGCACAGACAGGCTGTCACCAGGGTCAGGATATCCTAGTGTTGTTCTGCTCCTTCTTTGTAATTTGGAGGATGCCTGAGGTAGAGATGCTAGTTCGGCCTTCATGACAGAGCTAGCATACAGAGCAGGAAGATGGGAAGAAGAGAGGGCATAGAAAGATGTGAACATGACTAAAGTCATTCACCTGGTTACCTAAGAAACAGAATATTAATAAATTTACCCTCAATTTATGTTTTGGTATAAAGGCTGTTTGGAGTATAAACACATAAAATTTCCAGGATGTAAACTCAGAATTTCATGAGGTTTCACTAAAAAAATCTCTCCCGACAAAGCCATGTGAGTTGTGTCAATATTTCCCATGTCTCCTCGGCTGGTTCAAAAAAAATAATTTATGGTTTGGGCTAACTAAATACTGAATATTTACCTCCTAAAGAGGCCAATTTGGATGCCAAGATTCTGGTGCAATTATCGTGACATCTGCGCCTGTTCTATAAGACCTTCAACGACAATATCTTTTGTTTGTACCTTTAATTTTGGTCTTTTTTTATTTATAGAAGTCTGAAAAAATATTTGATTTATGATTTCTCCTTAAGTATTTCTTCTCTCCTCTATAGCTTTTATATCATCGAGAGCAGTATGGTTTCTGATAATAGACACTAGGTTCTTTAATTGCACGGGGAAGCTGTTTCCTCCATGGTTATAGGAATGACTGGACCAAATTTGACATGGGGGCCTGAGAGAGACCCCACAAGGAGTTTCCCAATGGCAAAGGGTTACCTTGACTATCCCTTGATGACCTACATTCATTTGTCCAATGTCTACCTTTGTCACACCTTCTGCATAATCCAGAAGGAAGGGACCTTCTGTTTGAATTATGCTTAGAAAAAAAATTGTTTCTTGGAATGCTTTGTTTACAATCACCTTCTTAGGTGATTGTGGTTACTGTAATTGAAATACTTGATAGTTTAATTTTTTTTTCAAACCTCTGGAAATCACCTCTTATCCATACATCATTGTGGTCACGAGATTCAATATTGATTGTATCTCAGATTTATTCCTTCAAGGGTGCTGATCTTGCCTTTACCAGCCTAATTACCCTTTTGCATTGTGCATTATCATTTCAGGTAACGAAAAGCCAGAGTTTCAATTATTATTTGTCTAGCTTCTGAATTTGTTATTATTCTATTTACTAATGAAGTCAGTCTTTGTAAGAAATCCATAAAGGCTTCCTTTGGGCCTGTATAACTTTAGTAAATGACTCAATTTTCTTTCCTACTTCTCCATTTCTATCCCAAGCATTTAAAGCTGCTGTGTGGCTTAAATCCAGGGTGTGGTCATCCTATAGAGATTATTTCTGTAAATCGGCATAATCTCCCTTTTCAAGAAATTGGTCTAGGGAGGTTTCCATACCTCTAGCAGTACTTCATTGCTCAATGGTCTTAGCCTCATCTTCCCACAAGATCTTCCATTGTAATTGAGGGCTAGGCTCCAAGACTGCTTTAACCAAGCCTTTGTAGTCTTTCAGGATAATTGTACTACAAGTTGACCATGAGTTTAACATTTGCTTCACAAAAAGTGAATACATGCCCTATGAAACTATCACTTCCTTGAATCTCCTTAAAGCTAACATTTCCACAGGAGTCCAGTTAACTCTTACACAGCCATAGGGATGTCTTTTGGCAGTTGTTCTTGTAAGATGACTGGAAAAATTAAAGTTGGTTGTTTGAAAACTTCAGGCTGTTCCTCTCTAATCTTATAATGCAACACTGAAATTTTTTCTCCATTAAATCCCTCTGCCTGATCTGAATATCTCTCTATTATCTGTTTTATTAAGTTTTTCTAAAACTTGTATGTTAGCATTCATATTAACCAACTTTTTTAGTGATAACATAAAAATGATAAAACTGATAATATTTATAATTGACATTACATAAGTCCCATCAAAATTAGTTTTTCTCTCATTAAATTGTTCTGTTTTCAAACCTTTCAGCTTATTATCATACAGAGACCTAAGTCCCCCCACTGTAGTAGTGGTTCCCATTTTTTAATGTGGGAAAAAAAACTTGCTCTCTTTTTAAAACTAACCCCCCCCTTTAAGAATTCCCAATTACCACCTATTTACTTCTCCCTGCACAGTCATCTCAGTTTCTGTCTGTCTGTCCAGACTTCCAGACCTCTCTGGTTAGCTAGTGGATGCCTCCACACCCTGATCTTCAGGCAAGCTTCATTTGCTAGAGTATAAACAAGATATCACATATCACCACACCTATGTTCAGGAATCAATGAGTTTATTACTGAGATTGCAGACAGAAGTATGAATGAGGAATTAGAATAGGAACACACTTTAGTAACATTTATTTTATAAATGTGGGTGCCCTTGTATTTGGGGTATAGATGTTCCGAACTGAGACTTCATCTTGATGGATTTTTTTTTGTGATGAATATGAAATGTCCTCAACCTCTTTTGAATAATTTCAGTTTGAAGCCCATTTTGTTAGCTATTAGGATAGCTACACCATCTTGTTTCTTAGGCCCATTTGATTGGAAAGTATTTTCCTAATCCATTACTGTGAGGTAATGTCTGTCTTTGAAGTTGGGTTGTGTTTATTGTATGCACAAGTTTATCACAAATTAACATCACACCAGTTACCGTTTATGGAATGAGCTTTGAATCCAGTCAGAAAACGATTGGTTGCTCCACACCTTTCCTGCATCATTGCTCTGTGGGCACTGCTGCTTTTGTCTGAGGCACAGCAGCAGCTGCACCTGATACTAAAGCTGCCTCAGCTGACGACTGCACCTCTGCAGCCACTGCTGCTGCCTTGCGGCTGAGGTTTTAGACTGGAAGAGCCTTCATGCTGTCTTAGCTCTGTCTCTGTCCTTTATTTAACAGTAAGGATTCCAGAGCCAGACACTGGGTGAACACCTGCTAGCTCAGAGAGGCAGAGCTTCTTATACACCAAGGGGATGTTACAGGAGCTTGGATGACTCCACTGGGAAAAACAACAGTAACTATGCCACAGCCCAGATCTCAGATTCAGGGTGACAAATAGACAAAGCTAGGACACGGGAAAGGTTTCATGGAGCATTTATGGTTACAGAAGATGAAGATTCATTAAGGCAAGTTTCAAACACACTGCTTGAACAAACTGTTGTGAGCAAAGAGAACTCTCTGCTGTTCTCTGATGACATTCTTAGCATTTGAGTTGTTCTATGTTAGATGTTCATGTTGACATCCAAAATGATTAACTTAATATTCTCCACCATGGATTCATTAGAGTTGGATAAGATCTGAATTGTTAGGAAAGATTTTTACTACACGTTACATAATCATGGAGTGATTGTGAATCATTTGATGTGTTTTAAGGGTTGATGAAGTAAACTTTTAAGGCATTTGTAGGATTTCTCTTCTGTATGAACTATATCATGTTGAGTAAGGCTATAAAGATTCGCAGTCTTTGCTACATTCCCCACACTTTTACAATTGTCTTCAGAATGAATTTTAGTTTTTGTTTTATGTCGTCTAAGTGTTGAAGATGAGGAAAACCTTCTGTCACAGTCTTCACTTCTAGAGGTTCTCTCCAGAATGAAGTCTCTTGTGTTTCCTAATGGAGGCATGATAACGAAAGGCTTTGTGACATTCCTCACACTTGTAGGGTTTCTTTCCGGTATGAATTGATTGATGTTCCTGAAAATCCCTAGAACAGTAATACCGTTTGCCACACTCTGCACACTTGTAGGGATTGTCTTCAGAATGGATTGTTTGATGTCGCCTAAGGGTTGAACATGTGGAAAAACATTTGCCACACTCCTCACACTTATATGGCTTCTCTCCAGTGTGGACTCTCTGATGTTGATGAAGGCGTGAAAAGTAGGAAAACCTTTTGCCACACACTTCACACTTGTATGGATTGTCTTCACAGTGAATATGTTGATGTCGCCTAAGGGATGAACGTTTGGTAAAATATTTGCCACACTCCTCACACTTGTGTGGCTTCTCTCCAGTGTGGACTGTCTTGTGTTGATGAAGGTGTGCAAAGGAGGAGAACCTTTTGCCACACTCTGCACATGAGTAGGGACGACTATCTTCAGAATGGATGATTTGATGTTTTTTAAGGGATGAACCAGAGTAAAAATACTTGCCACACTCTGCACATGTGTACGTTTTCTCTGCAGTATGACCTGCCTTGTCCTCAAAGAGGAAGGCAGGCCTAGTAAATCCTTTCCCTCGCACTTTCTGCCTGCGGAGTTTCTCTCCAGTGTGAACTGCCTTGTGGTTCTTAAGGGATGAGTGATAAAGAAACGTCTGCTGACACTCTTCACACTGGTATGGTTTCCCTCCACAAGGAGTGCTTTGATGCTTCTTCAGTAAGGAAGGGTCATAAAAAGCCCTGCCACATTCTTTACACTTGTAGGGTTTCTCCCGAGAATGAATTCTCTGATGTTGCTTCAGCATTGAAAGATAGTAAAATAATCTGCCACAGTCTCCACACTTGTAGGTTTTTTCATCAGTATGATCTTTCTTATGTATAAAAAGTGATGAGCGAGTACAAAAGGCCTTGTGACATTCTTTACAGGTGAAGGGTTTTTCTCCAGTGTGAAGTCTCTTGTGTATAGAAAGTGTTTTATAAGAACTAAGGGCCTTACCACATTCTTCACACTTGTAGCGTTTCTCCCTTCTATGAATTCTCTGGTGTTGAGTGTGTTGTGAGTTACAGTCAATGGCCTTGTTGTAAACGTGATACTCACTGAATCTTGTTCCTGTTGAGCCAAGTTGAGACATGAACAAAGGCTAGGAAATATTCTTCATACTTTATCTATTTAAAAGGAAACATTTACTCAAACATATTGAAGCATCAGTGATAAACTGTAGCAGGAATTCTAATTGTTCTCAACAATAAAAACTTGGAGTCAGCTATCGGGGGTGCAAGCTGAAGGGTCAGAGAAGCAGAGCGACCAGCCACTAGAGTCCTTACCTCTACTAATGCCCAGACAAAGGGAATTAGACAAAATGTTCCTAGATTGCCTCCTCAGATTTCATCCTGAGACTCACTGCTCCTCAGACTGCAATGAGCTCCTGTAGCCTCCTGTCTTATATTCCTCTCTTGGTCCAGCCATATCTCTTCCTGTCTCCACCTGCTAGGTGTTGGGATTAATGGTGTACGGCTCCCAAATACCGGGATTGAAGGTGTGAGTCACCACTGCTTGGCTCTGTTTCTCTTTTAGACTGAATCAATTTTATGTAATCTTGAACTAACAGAGATCCATCTGCCTCTGTTTCCCAAGTGCTAGCATTAATGGTCTATGCCACCACTACCTAGCCTCTATGGCTAACTAGTGTGGCTATCTCTACACCCTGATTTTCAGGCAAGCTTCATTTGTTAGATTATAAATAAAATATCAACACAAGAAACTACAGTATATTTTAAAATCTCTAGGCACTAAGTATAAATGATAAAATATTGGAGGTAGAAATAATCTATTCTTCTACTAGAATAAGGGCATATCCAAATAGAACATAGACATAATGGCATATTATTCGAAGTTTAATAGCAAAGTAATTTGTAAGGGCATTGGGCATTTTACTGACAGAAATAAACCCATTAAACAATAGAGGTATTTTATGTCCGGACACTCATGAAATTATAAATTAGCCAATCTGGGAAAGGAGACAGTTAACTGTGGCTGTGTGAATGTCAGGCACCATCTAAATACAAACTTTATCTCCACATATAATTTTATTTTGAAAGACACAAAAGATAAGTTGTACAAGAAGTAGATGGTTCAAGAAAAGATTAAATTTATAGATCAAAAAGTCAGGTCAGTATTTTTGTTTTTTTGGACAACAAGAAAATATATACCTCAAACATATCAAGTCACAATTAAAAAAAAAACTTCAAGTTCACCTGTGTATTACACAAATTTTGCTAAGACAGCATATTTGTCAATGAGTAGATTAAAATTACTTATTTCCTTTTTTGTTTTTGCTGTTTGAAGACAAGGTTTCTCCATGTAGACCTTACTGTCCTGAAGCTCACTATCTAGACGAGGCTCATCACAAACTTAGAGATTCACCTACCTCTGCCTCCCAAATGCTGGGATCAGTGAAGAAAGCCACCATGCCAGACAATAAAATTACATATTTCTAAGACAAAACAGCTATTGTGCACTAAACAGAGAAACAATGATCAAGGCATGAAAACAAGAAGCTTGTGTTTACCAATAAAATAGAAATGCACAGAGCACAATTCATAGATAGTTTATAATCTTACACTGTCATTATGGACTTTATCAATGTGTCCTATCTATTTCCAGAACAAATCGTTTGAGTCAATGGAACTAAACCTTTAGATTTTAGGCTCCCAGCCTGTGTCTGGTATGATGTAATTGTGGGCTTGGCTCTATAAACCCAATTAAACTAGGATTAGACAGTGCTGGGATGACCAATGTATTTCCTTCCTGACACAAACCCAACCTTGTCCTGATCCTCCAATGGGGCAGGTGTGGGTATTTTTGTCTGGTCCAGATTCTGGTAAAAATCCTGACAAAGACTCCTTCCCTGGGAATCCTTCTAAGAGTAAAGATGTTGACTGAAGATGTAACAGATAAAAATTTTCAGTTAAATCCACATCCTTTGTCATTTCTGTGGATGCTGAATGAGTGATTTTGCATACACCCCTCCCTTCCATTACGTTGTCTCAGCTATCGTTCTGTGCCTTATTTCTTGCTTGCCCTGATGACCCTTGTGGAACTGAGAGTCAGCCAATCTCTTAGCTCACTTTGGATTCAAGAGAGCTGGAAGCTGTCTGTCTGTCTGTCCTCCATGAGCAGTGCCAATATCATTTCTCAGGCTGTATTAGTGGGCCTGGGAATCTCCATGTCTACTACTCTATAACCTCCTCATCCCTGGTGCTGAGCTCCCCCTTATGGCATTCTTTATGATGATACAAGCTACTTAATGTACGTCTGCAGTATTGTAGGTATATAGAACACAAAAGAAAAGACTGCCAAATTTTGCCGACACAAGGTAGGACAGCCTTTCAGAATATCCCGATTCACAGAGAAGTTGGTCAGATGCACTAGACTGAAGACAGAATCATCCACCTTGCAGAGGAACCTTGGTTGATTGTCCAGGCAGTCAGTTGTTTCCATCATTTCGCACATTTTTTTGGAAGTCACTTGCTTGCACTTCCTGTTTACTCAGGTAATATTATTTCCTTGTCAAATCTCTGATGGAGTTGATAGTTACAGTTTTCCTTGTTACCAGATTCAGGAAAGAAATGCACTGGAGAAGTTTACAGTGTATGGGGGAGACAGTATTAAAAGATAATTTTTGTAATGAAAGTTTTAATAGAGAGTGAATTGGGTATATAATTTTGGAATCACAAAGACAGGATAATAGAGTATTTTCTCTGAATTTGTCAATTGTTTATGGACATTGTTGATGTAATTATTGACTGTATATATATTGTATATAGTTATTGTACTTATTGTATATATTTTTTCTCATGTAAGTTATAACCTTCTTTTTTAATTTCAGACAAAAAGTGGGAAATGTAATATTTTGTTTGTGCTTTAACAAATAAAGCTTGCCTGGAGATCAGAGAGCAGAGCTAGCCACTAGTTAACCAGAGTGACCAGACAGTAGTGGCACACACCTTTAATCCCAGACCTTAGGGGGAAGAAACAGAAAGTGATGTACCTGGGCAGAGAGAGATAAGGTAGATGGAGACAGGAGCTTGGTCCCTTTCAGTCTGAGGATTTGGTAGAAGTAAGAAGTCTAATGGCTGGCTCATTTACTTCTTTGATCTTGCATCATTTACTCCCAATATCTGATTTGGGGTTTTTATTATTAAGATCAATTAGAATTCATGCTACATGCCCTTGCCTCAATGGATAACAGCATAGTGTCCAAACTGGACCAGCAGGACACAAAAGAAAGTGACTGCCAAACTTTGCCAAGACAAAGAAATTTTAAGGGTAGTCCTTAAAATTCCCTCCTTCTCAAAAATGCCTGGTAGAAGCCAGGTATAGTAGCATACACCTTTAATCCCAGAACTTGGAAGGCAGAAGCAGGTGGATCTCTGTAGGTTCAAGGCCAACCTGGTACACAGAGTAAGATCCAAAACAGCCAAAAGTACACAGAGAAACCCTTTCTCAAAAAAACAAAAAAACAAACAAACAAACGAAAAAACAAAACAATAGAAAGTATTTTCAAGATCTCCTGAGTGTGGAGTGGGCACAAGGGAGACGGTTTATTGGGAGAGGTGGAGGAAGGAAGGTGAGAGGGGATTAAATCTATAGCTCAATAAAAAAGAATTTAAAAATCTTAAAAAAATAAAGCTTAAAAAAAGTCTGCTACTTTTACTAGGTTTTTAGGCCAAAGATGAATGCCCCATTGTTACAGAAGAACTTTGATTAACTTTGATTAACAGGCAGCCAGATGTAACCGTTGTTAGGTAACATTTCACCCTTCTGGGTCTTTGATAGAATTTAAGACTAAATAATTAGACTTAAAGTTTTCCTTAGTTATGATAAAAGGTAAATTAGATAAAAAAACCATTTTTGACTCACAAAGATAAAATAGATAATAAAATATTTCCTCTAAATTTGCCAAATAAAAAAAGAACTGGCTATTGTAACCATAATGATTACTTGACAGCTGGTCTTGTTATATAAAGTTTTACTGTGTGAAAATTAAAACCTTCCTTTTTAGTTAAACAGAAAGGGGTAAATGCTGTGGAATAATGCTTCTGCACACTGTGAAGATGTACTGCTTTCATTGTTAATAAAAAGCTGATTATCCCAAAGACAGGCAGAAATTTCAGGGCAGAGTGCTGGGAAGAGGAAGGGCGGAGGCAGAGGAGTAAAAAGGATGCAGAGAAAAGAAAAACATGCCATATGGAGAAAAGGTACCACCACATGGCATAGTGTAAAAAAGACATATAGGTTAATTTAAAATGCAAGCGCTAGTTAATAATAACCCTTAGCTATCAGCTGAATATTTATAATTAATATTGAGTCTCTGAGTAGTTATTTGGGAATGGCTGGTGGGACAAAGCTGATCATGGTCCCAACAAAAAGCTTTGTGCACACTCCTCAGCACTGCTTCCATTACAAATCTGCAAGCCAATGAAAATAAACACTTGCAAGAGTTTGAGAATCAACAGAAGACCTCGAAAGAAGGGAACACAAGATCTTTGTCCAATTGAACTCATGGTAATATTAGCCATGATGCTTCCTATAGAGCTAATAAAAGTGGCTATCCTGACAAGATATGAAACAAAACATCTTACTAGCTCTGACATATCTGAGAATATTGGGTTTATACACAAAAGTCTTTAATTTCTTTCACAACTTGTGACTAGAATATATCCAAATAACAATAAGAAGCCGAGTGGTGGTGGCGCACGCCTTTAATCCCAACACGTGGGAGGCAGAGGCAGGTGGTTCTCTGTGAGGTGGAGGCCAGCCTGGAATAGAGAGCTAGTTCCAAGACAGTTGAAAATATACAGAGAAACCTTGTCTTGAAAAATAAAAATCAAACAAAACAAAAGCAGACGTAATATATGATAAACATATTAACTTAAAAATATACATACAATATATATGTGTGTGTGTATATATATATACACATCCCCCAAAATGGAGAATTACAACTCACTAACTGCCATAAAAGAGTGCATAATCACTGTGCCCAGACTGGCTTGATGGGTGTCCCTGAATCAACAGTGTAAGACCTTGTAGGTCATCCTGTCCTACTCTTCCTAGGTCTAATGACCAGGTAATGCTGAAGTAACTGGTAGTAAAAAGGTTTTTTTTTTTTAAAAACAACCAACCAGCTTCTGCTAAGTTATTGTACTTAATGGCCCTCTGTCACTGCCTGCCTCTCTATGATGGAATTGTAGGTTCAGCTTTATAAACCCAATCATGCTCACTTTGGTAAAGACATCTTTCTGGCATGAGTCTGCTCTCAACTTCTGCAAATAAATGACTCTCAGTCTGACCGGCGCTGAGTTCTTCCCTGAGTCTTACACGACAATGGAGAATCAACAAAAAGAAAAGCCTTGGAGGTCACTTTAAATAAAAGCACACCTTGCTGTTGGGGCGATACAAAGCTTAAGAGACTTAAACCATCATAAACGTCTGAGAGATGTGCTTTGACAACAAAGACCTGAAGGAGAGACCTAAAGAGCGCTTCCCATCATATCATGTTTCAAGGCACATGGCAAAGCCTCACTTTCTGTTGGATACTTGGACCTCAACTCTGCCACTGAACCCCCCAGTCCCACACACCTGGGTGCACGCTGGCTGCTGCTTGTCTCTCTCCATCTGAAGGCTCTGGTCTTTGCTCCAGAAATGTCACCAGGTGTGGTTTAGAGACAGCAAGACCTGATTATACAAAAAGGAAACAAGACTGTTTGAATGTCCTTCTACTGGGAATTGGCATACCCCTTCCAATACACCATTTATAAGGAAAGAGGTGAAGTCATAAATGGTTACAGATAATCAGATTCTAAAATGTTCTCTGACAAGATCAGTACAATACATAAATTAATTTACAAAATCCAGATTCTGAGTTTCATTTAATGGAAACAAGCAATAAAGCAGAATTCTGTAACACTTTAACTAAAAAGTATGCTCCATATTCATGCCGTTGAATTTTTAACAGTACCATTATACTAAAGGGAACAACTATCCATCACAGAAAGGCTAGACACAAAAAGAGAAAAGTGATATGTTTTTTTTAGTAATTTATTTATTTATTTTTTGGTGTTTTGCTTGCATGTATGTCTTTGTAAGGATGTCACATCTTAGAATTATAGACAGCAATAAGCTGCCATGCTAGGAACTGAACTCTGGTCCTCTAAAAGAGCATTCAGTGCTCTTAACTACTGAGCAATCTCTCCAGTCCCAAAGTGATACTAAACACAGAAATCTCCCTAATTTTCTGAAATCGAGGGATAGGACTCCCGCTGTTGAAATGCTCTCAAGAGATAATGTACAGAAGGAGTAAGCTATATGTTAATGGTGAAATAGAATTCACTATAGATGAGATCCTCACCCAGGAAATCCAGGTGGCTGTAATTCTCCAACATCACATCCCTGTACAGATTCCACTGAGCAGGCTCCAGACGTTCCCTCTCTTCTCGAGAGAACTCGATGGCCACATCAGAGAAGGACAGCATTTCCTGAAATAAAGATCAGTGAATGATATCACACTTTAATTAAAACCCTTAATAATAGAAATACTAAGCTACATTGGGCTGGATAGTTTTCCTGTGAACTGAACACTAGCTGGGGCCATTTGAGAAGAGAAAAGCATAATTGAGAAAATGTCTCCCTAAGACTGTCTTGTAGGGAAACCTATAGCATTTTCTTAACTAGTGATTGCTAGAACACAGCACAGCCCACTATGGGCGGTGCCACTCCCCTGAGCACGCACTTCTATCCAGTATAGGAATGCTGGCTGGGCAAGTGGCCTAGGCTCCAATTCTTTTTTTTTTTTTGGTTTTGTTTTGTTTTGTTTTGTTTTGTTTTGTTTTGTTTTGTTTTGTTTCGAGACAGGGTTTCTCTGTGGCTTTGGAGCCTTTCCTGGAACTAGCTCTTATAGACCAGGCTGGTCTCGAACTCACAGAGATCCACCTGCCTTTGCCTCCCGAGTGCTTGCGCCACCATCGCCCGGCTTAGGCTCCAATTCTTGCCTCAGGTTCCTGCCTTGACTTCCCTCATGACAAAATACAGCTGTATTTTGTCATGGTCTTTCACAACAATAGAAACCCTAACACAGGCATCATGTGTCTGTGGACACAAATCTAGATTTTTCCCAGGATGAAAGACAGTTAGAAATGCTTCTTACATGGGTATTAATGTTCCTCAGACACATCTGAAGTGGTCACATGATATCACACTGGACCCGCCGGAAAGAAAGACAAGGTAAACAATCCCATAAGCCCAGCTGGACATGATACATTTCAGACACAAATATAAAATGAATGCATTCACAGCATATGCACTTAGTCCCATGTGCTGCTACACACCACACACATATGCATTCCTCACAGAAAGTCACGGTGAGGGAGAAGAGATTTCTCAACAGCTCATGCACACAATCATGACAGTGACGTGGAATGAAAATACAGAGTCTGCTGCAGCAGCTCTGGCTGTGCTGTGGGCTCAGGATTTCTACAGAGTTCAGTAATGATGCAGATGACAGGGACACGGGACATGAGAAGGAGCAGGCCAGGGGAAGAACTCACAGAGTAAATATCATTTAAGTATCCGGTCATATGGGAAAATAGGCAAAAATAAGACTAACAATACTGCCTGATATTTAGAATAGAATCCACACCACTTGATGTTTTTGTCATTTTCCCTTCCTATCTTTTCTCTGGCAGGTACTGAAGTGGGCTGCGGTATTCCTAAGCATGTTTGTACACACGACACCTGAGCACAGTGTGCATAGCTGAGAAATAGAATTGCTGATGCTATCTTCACATGTCAAAATTTCCTAATTTTAGAATTTATGCTCTTCATATTTTATTGAGTAAAGTCCCAGGATGATCTATTAAAAAACTCACACATTAGTTTTCCTTTATATCAATACAGAAAATGCCAGCAATTTATGTAATAATGAGATATTTTGGAATAATTTCATGGTTAAGTTTTAGATCCTGCCGGGCAGTGGTGGCTCACACCTTTAATCCCAGCACTCGGGAGGCAGAGGCAGGCGAATCTCTGTGAGTTTGAGACCAGCCTGGTCTACAAGAGCTAGTTCCAGGACAGGCTCCAAAACCACAGAGAAACCCTGTCTCGAAAAAAAAACAACAACAACAAAAAAAAAAGTTTTAGATCCTGTCTCTCAATTTTGAATGATCACTTCAAACACTATCTTCCAGGTTTGCAAAACGTACCTTCAAGCTAGGTGGTGGTGGCGCACGCCTTTAATCCCAGCACTCAGGAGGCAGAGGCAGCCGGATCTCTGTGAGTTCGAGGCCAGCCTGGTCTATAAGAGCTAGTTCCAGGACAGGCTCCTAAGCTACAGAAAAACCCTGTCTGTAAAAAAAAAAAAATACCCTTCATAATGCTTACAGACATCCAGCATCTGGGAAAAGGTACTGGGGCTTCTCACTCCCTTTACCTTGTCCCAGAGTCACTGTTCACAAGTATAGTAGGCAATTTTCTTTGGGCCACCAACTAGCTCCCAAATACAGAGACTTTTCAATAATTATGAAAGCTGGTCTTTAGCTTATCCTTTTTCCACTAGCTCTTAGAATTTAATTTAACCCGTTTTTAAGCATCTATGTTTTGCTTCAGAACTTTAACTTTTCTTTCATTCTGCCTGTCCTGCTTTTCTACATCTTGTTTGTCTGGCTGGGTGGCTCCTCTGTCTCTGTCTCCTCTTCCTCTTCCTCTCTGCTGGGAAGTCTTACCTATATCTCATCATTAGCTACTGGCCATTTAGTTTTATCTCAGACCAATCAGATCCCTTAGGCAGGCAAGGTAAACAAATGCAACACATCTTTACATAGCTAAACTATTATTCCACAACAAGGAAGTCCCCAAGTGTTGGCTTCCTGATGTCACTGGTCCATTGAAGAAATCATTACATCTCCAACTCCTGTGCTTTATGATTCTTTTATTTTTTTAAGCTTATGATTTTATTGTCTTCATAACAAGATCAGCTTAAAACTGAATCACCCGTCCCATTTTTCTTCTAAATGCCTCCCAGCACCCTCTTAATTTGCAGTTGGGCTCAACGCACTCCAGCCTCAGCACCATCTCTGTTGTGGTTTTAGCATTTTTCTGGAAAATAGGCTGTCCTGTTTCCTGTCCCAGCACTGTTTCCCTGGGCATACAAAGAATCCTTGATCTTCTTGTACTGTATCATTTTATCTGGGGTTGGTCCTGGAAACATTTCTTGCAGAATATACGGGGGATCTTAGAAAAGTTCACCATGTTGGTAGGAATGATATGGGTAAAGCTTTACAATTCTCGATGCTTAACATATTTCTATTTTATATGAGCTTCAGTTCATTATATTTAACATATTGGTGAGATCATGTGTAATTTACATGTATCTACCTGAAATAGCTTCCAGTTTTACCAACTGTCACAATTAGTAAGACTATCTTTTTTTCTGAAAAATTACTAAAATATAAGTATGTAACCGGGCAATGGTAGTGCACGCCTTTAATCCCAGCACTTGGGAAGCAGAGGCAGGCAGAGCTACTTCCAGGACAGGTAGGACTATCACACAGAGAAACCCTGTCTCAGAAAACCAAAAATAGGATGTGTGTGTATATATTGTGTGTGCGTGCGTTTGTGTGTGTGTATGATTTACCCCCCTATCTCCTCAATGCAACTTCTCTCATGTCCCCCAACAGTCTGTCTCAAATATATGGTGTATTCTTCTCTAATTATTATTGTTATACACATGCACAGACATAGTACAAAAATATAGGTGTCTATCTATCTATCTATCTATCTATCTATATACACACACACTACACATAAGTGCAAAAATATGAATGGCCTATTCTGTCCACTGTTGCCTGTGTGTATGCTTTGGGGATTGATCACTTGTTACTGGATGAATGTTGAGTGGGCTCAGCCCCTGGGAAGACCAATTCTCCTCTCTTAGCAGTCCTTATGTGCCTATACTTCTGTTGGCCAGCAGACTGCCCCCTGCAGGGGATCTTGTGCCACTGCCATTGTTCAGGGCTTGTTCAAGCAGTCTTATTGTTGGGGTGTCATGGGTGCAGCTTCCCTTCCCTTTCTGGAAAGCACCACCTACAACAGACTTCCTGGACCCCAAGCTCTCATGATCAATATGGACCCTCTGCAGACATATTCCCTGAGCCTTCTACACAGGAACTGTGGTGTGGTGTATCTACTGGGTCAGGGCATCACAAGACAATAGTTCACTGGATTTGAATGTTTTAGTTTTCCATAATGCTCTCTGTGCTGCACTGAGCAGTGTCTTTAACAGCAGTGACAGCTACACTTCGGTGTAGGTCTAGGGAAAGGCATCTGGAATGCAGTTAGCAACTGTGATGCTTTAGTGGCTCCAGTATGCAATCCTCTGTAACTTAAGAACTAAGAAGTCATCAGAGACAACTGCTGCTAATGCCGAGATGTGGGAGACACTGGGGCACCGTTAGGGATTTAAGGTCATACTGCTCATGGGGGTGGTTCATGGGAATAACAGCTAAGCAGGGCTATTTATTGCTTCTCTGCCTTGGAGCTCACAAAGCCTCTTCCGGCAGTAAGAAAAGTCACCCTAAGGCAGAAGACCTTCAGGTCAGCTCAGGCTCCAATCCCGAGTCTTGTCTCTGAAGGCCAATGTGCTTTCACCATTGGGAAGAGCAAGAAACTTAACATCACAAAACTTTAGGGACAACTGAAATATAGCCTCCAGAAAAAAAAAAATGATGACATAGAAAATGTCTTTAACTAAAGGGCAGAGTTGAACAGCAATGAGGCCTGCAGATGTTCAAGAACCAGGCAGAATGAAGCAATTTAGAACACCCAGTGATTTCTCAAGGGAACAGAAGCTGAACTATTTTGAACTATTTTAGAAGCTTCTTCGTAGCTAGTACAGAATGTTACCACCTTTAGAAGAAGTGAGTGGAAAAAAATAGATCCCACTCTTTAAACCAGGGCAGTGGTTCTCGATGTGTGGGTCATGAATCCCTTTGGAAAACCTTCATCTCCAAACTTCTTCACATCAAATGACTTAGCAAAATTAGTTACGAAGCAGCAAGAGCAAAGGGACAGGAGTGCTGGACACGGACAACCATTGTGGGACAAGCAGACATCCCCCTGTTTTACAGTTAGTCTATCCTACATTACAGATGGAGGCCCTATCAAGGGTTAGAAAACCCAGCCCCCAAGGTAAAGTTGCAGTTCAGTTTCCTGTTCCTCATTCTGCTTTGCACCGGGTCCCTCACTCCACACGTCTGCAGCCTGTGTGCTCTCTCACCCTAGACAAAACTTTTCTACAGCAGCTGATTCTGGCAGTCTGCATTTCAGATTTCCCACCAGCGACCTGTTGCGCCAAAGGTTTTTCATCTGTGAATTCTTTAACTGGCAGAGAAAATGGACATAATCAAGATCTCAAGACCGTTACACTAGTCTGGCTACAGAGTACAGAAAGGACCACAAACCCGTTTGCTCTAAAAAATAATGAGAAATCCCACAGCATCCATACGAGAATGTGTCAGAAGTGAAGCAGGCTTCTTTACCAAAGCTGCTCAGTGAGCTCCCAGCTCCCCCTCAGGAGCAGGCAGTCAGCTGACCATCCTTAGCTTGCAACCCTGGACCCAGCACTGTCATCTACTCCGCGCTCCCGGGCTGCTCTCCTGTCCCAGAAGCCCAAGGCAGGCTCGGGCTGCACGCGGCGTCCTAAGGAAACCATCACTCAGGGCACAGTCCCTGTCGCCCTCATCCCAGTCAGTTGAGCACAGCACCGACAAGGCTGCTTCTCCCTGAGCTTCTTCAGCCAGCCCGGGTCCGCTCCCTCCAAGACGGCCCCGCTGCCCTGCACCCTGGACCAACCTCCATGTCAGAGACGCAACGGGAATACACAGCAGGCGGGACTCTCGCACAACTTTGGGGCACGCGTACAAGTAGAGACCTAGAGTGTGGGGTTTCCTGGAAGGCAGTCTGTGATGTCGCAGTTGCGGGGACTACATTTCCCAGAAATCTGCACGAAAGATAAATGACCCATAGGAAGAATGAAATTATAAACAAAAGATTACGTTGGGTAGTAGTGGGAGGGGGGGGATGAGGAAGCAGAAATTAAAAATACAGCATGTGGGGAGGGGCTCATTAAGGAATCTGGAGAAATTTTCGTAAGGCAAAATCGCAATCACATCACAGGCTATTGTAAGACAAACTGCAGACATCATGGGTCATAAACTCACAACAGGTTGAAACACTTTTAGCAAGGTACATTAGGCTTAGGAAACAGAACCTTGTTCTTGTAAGGTATGGAGACTTACTAACAATGTCTAAAAGTGTGATCTGACCAACAGTGTATAAAATGTGGTTTCCTAGCAACAATGTGACTACTGTTGGGTTCCAGATCAGCTGTGGAGAGTCGGTCTGGTGCTCACCTCCAGATCTACAGCAAGACATGTATAAACGTGAGTCAAGACTTTGACAGAAATATTGGGCTCACAGGTCACTTCTGGTCCATATGTTCTGATTTCAGTCTTACCATGACATTAAAAATCACGTTGAGCTGTGTGGTGGCGGCGTATGCCTTTAATCCCAGCACTTGGGAGGCAGAGGCAGGAGGGTGTCTGTGAGTTCGAGGACAGCCTCATCTACAACAGCTAGTTCCAGGACAGGCTCCAAAGCTACAGAGAAACCCTGTCTCAAAAACTATCCACTACCCAC